TGTTTTGGCCCATGCTATTCAGAGACATTTAGTGGTGATAGCAGTTACAGAGCATATTTGCTGAGGAGTTAACAAATTAATGAGACGTTTTCTGTTCTGGTGACTTAGGGAAGTGGAAGAAATCAGACCCCAAGGGAATGTATAGCATCATAACTAACCTGTAGTTCTGAATAAGCAGAATTTAGCTTAGTTTGTTTGGTGATGCTTAATCATGCCTTTTTTCTTTTTTTTTTTCGTCATTATCTGTGCTTCTACAGCTCTAAGCAAACATCTGTTTCAAACCAATAAATTAAAAAGCATCAGCATGAATATGAGAGAGGAGAGAAGTAACGTATTGAATATTTGGATGTAAATCTTACTGAGGCCAGTGGAAAATTAGCTCAGCTTTGAGATGCATCCAGGCTTCTTGGATTTAATCTGGTATCTAGTTGCAAGACAGGATTTCACCCTGAAACTGCGAGTTAAGTACACCTTAACTGCGAGTTAAGAACACCTGTTCTAGAAGAGTATCTATGCATACAGATTCCAAGTATTCAGTCTTCAAATGGAGTATTATTTATAGCAGTAGAGAGAACAGTATTTACACAGAGGAAGAAAGAGGAATGCTGCTGCCTCCAGGAAAAATACCGAGGAAATGGTAGTGTGCTGCTCTCAGCAGCAGTTAGTTCTCTAACATGGGACACCTTGGCCAAGACTTATGGTAAGCTCTTTTCTTGTGTCCATGTAGTTTAAAATATAATCTGAAGAGCCTAATCTATTATTGTAAATAAAACAGTGCAAGTGAACATCTGGCAATGTAGAGAAAACTACAGTAATTTGTGTATCTGCCTCTGTTTGGAAGAGAGACCTTAACTGCAAATAGATCCAGCCAGTTGGCCAGGTGGAAGAAATTCTGGTGAAGGACCTTTTCTTTTTGCCAGCAGCTATTGAACTTTGCATTTTGGAAAACTGGGATAACCAAGTATTTGTGAAAGAAAAGAAAACAAAGAAGTACAAGGTATTATTTTTTGTAATAGGACACAAACTGTAGAGCAGTTTCATTTAATTTTCTGACCAGCAACATTTGTGGCCTGATACATCAGCCCTTGATGTTTAATTAGGAATGCTTTCCATTGCATATGTTTGGGGGAAGTCAGTAGGACAGCTTCACCAAAAATACTTGCTGTGATAACTCAGGTTGTTCACTTTTAGCGGAAATTGGGAAAAGCTTAAAATGTTGAAAAAGAATTCAGTTTTTCAAGCACTTTTCAAGTTCCAAGGGCATTTTGCTGTGTGCCAATTTGACTTGTTCCTGTGTTGATTGCTTTGTAGTGTTTGACTGAAGAGTGATACCAAATACCTCCTGAAAGAGGTGTTTCATCTGTGAAAGAGAACAGAAAGTTTGTTGCCTAGAGGTGGAGAGGGAAGGGTTTTTTTTTACTTACTATACTATCATATCATCCTTTGGTGTGTGTTTTTTTTTTTCCTGAAAATGTTAATATAAGCAAAACTTTTCTTTAAAAATGTTTATGTTAAGGGGTTTCCCAACAACTTGAAGGTATTTTGTTTAGAGCTTTTATTTTGTGTTACCCTTTATGTGGATTCTGCCCACAAGGATTTTAACCTTCTGTAAAAGCATTGTTCGTTTCTGATAAAACAATTAAATCTCTCACAGAACATCTCATGGCTGAGAATCGCCAGTATGGCTATCATTCAATGGTTGCTATGGAAATTAAGTAGGAATGCATTCAATATTAATACTGCATTCCTATTATTTGCACTTCCATGATGGAAATATACTTGCTTTCTCCAGGAATGCCGGCAGTGTGATTCTTGTGATGTGGAGAGCTCTGTGCAAATATGTCCAGGGTTCCCCTTCCTTACTGTTCTGCAATGTCATCAGCTGCCATGGTATGGCTTATGCAGGTCACATCTGTTCTGTGTAACCAGTAGTTCTGTGTCCCAGTCACTGAGTGTGTTCGTGGTAATATGCCATGCTGGAATTTGGAAGACGTTTTGCTTATACTTGGCAGTCTCTGTCCAGGCACTTCACAGTGTGTTTTTCTTCTCTTACTTTGAAAGGGAAGTTTTCTTTCAGAGATGTTGAAAAACCGTGTATAGAAATGCGGGGTGTATGTATTGCCTTTTTAAAGTGATTTCCACGTGTTCTCTTTGCTGTGACAGAACTGCAGAATTTGGTTTGTTTTTCTGTTGCGTGGACGTTAAACACCAGAATTCAGGACTTAAGGCTGTAAGGAGCAGACCATGTCTTAATCTAACTAGCAGCTGTATTTTTCTTACTGTATTAAATTTTAAATTGTCATTTGTAAAATGCTCTTAGCATTTTCTAACTAGCAACTTCAGCTAATGTTTCGAATTTAAGGGTAGGTAATGATATAACTACAGTTTAACGCTTCTGATTAAAAATGTAAGGCTACTGGCAGGGTTTCAGTCTGTGGCAGAGCTGTTTGCCAAGTTTCTTGAAATACTTGAGCCTTTGATTAGTACCAGCTAAAAGCCAGATAAGTAGAAGTTATTGCAGTGCTGCTTCAATACAGGAGCTGCGTATATCTATGCATAGCCTGATGGGAAAAAGGGTTTTGGAAATAAACCTGAAGATATGGAAAGGATCAGCTGCTTAAAGGAGACTTGACTTGGTGTTGCAAAAAAAGAGAGGACTGTAGCATTCTGATTACACAGTTGGAAGTTATTTTTATAAGAAAGATACTTAAAAATATATTGGGATCTATAGGGAACTCAAAAAACCCACAACCACAAAAGAAAATAAAAAGAACAATATTCAGGGAAGACTTTTGAAACCACCTATATAACGTACAAGGCCATTGATATTGATAGCTATGAGCTTCTGGCTTCTGCAAAAATGGTGCGTTGGGAAGAATAAGGTTTTTTTATGAAGGGCTTTAAGTGTAAAGTGTAATTGCCAACAAAGCACCTTTTGTCCTCATCATAAAGAAGTATTGTGTGGCAGCGTAATTTCTTTTATAAATCAGAATTGATTGATGCTCGATGAGGTCTGGGGATTGTACCCTTTTGCTGTGGGTAGATGCACTTGATATGTGCAATAATGTCCCCATTCACTGGAGTGGAAGCAGCATTGAAAACTGCAGCAGAATTTGCTGTCTCTAGCAGCAGAGGCATGACTGATTGCTGAAAGTTGGAGCATGTGACTTGAATAGAGGTTTGGCAACACAGGGGAAAGCGGTTGTCTGTTTTGGAGTGTGGCAAGAGGCAATATTTACCCTGCTCTGTTTCTCCCTTTTGCAAGCAAAAGGCAGGTTGCCAAGTACAGGGACTGAATGGTTTGGATCTTCAGTTGGAAACGTTTTGCCTACACTTGGGTAAATGAGATGTGCAGATAGCTCAGCAAATCTGGAAGGTGTCCTCTAACTTAATAGTAATGCAAGCTAGATGGCTCATTACATGCATATATCTTTTTTTTTTCCTCCATCTTTAAACCTCAGCCTTGTTCTTGCCTGTATCTCTCCTCTTAAGGAGAAGTTGACAAACTTTCTTAGGTTACTGACACCAAACTTTTCCCATCATGGGAGATGCACAAGCAGAGGATTCCTGCATCTCTGGCACTTCAGCACAGATATGGCAGAACTGCAGATCCATCTGCAGTAGGTGTGGGTGCAAACATGTGCTTCCAGACACAGAGTAAATACGTCTTTAGTTGTTTCTCTTTGTGTATTTTTAGGATTAAAATTTTCTTGTTAGGGAGTGTCATGGAGAAATGAACATCTTATGCAAGTGTTCAGAAAGCTCAGCTAAGAGAGTACAGTCGCTGTTTTGGCAGCTTCAGCGTTCAATTATACTGCTTCAGTCCCTATAGAAGTCATTCTGAAAAAGCTGTAAGGTGTCGGATCTTTTTTATTTACCTTGTAGGTTTTGTGAAATTTATTCTTCAAGCTGTTCTCCAGCTGTGAGGGCTGGTTTAAGTGAAATTCTTGCAGAATTGTTCCATCTAGATTTAGATCTACTCTGTTTTATACATGCCACATACTGAGACTTAATGTTAAAGCCCTCTGTCACTTAAGGTCTTTTCACTTTCAGAAGTTTTATGTTAAGTAGGGTGATGTGTTGACAGTTCTTTTGGAGCATCTTGCATTGCATGAAAAAAAAAATAAAAAACCAACAAAATAACAAACAAAAACAACAAACAACTCTGTGTGCTATTCAGTCTTGAAAACAATCTCTTTCCAAGTTTGTCTTTAAGTTGAATATAAGGAATCTAGGTTGAAATCTCTTATGTTATTCTGGTAGAGCGCTTCAATAAGAAATGAAGAAATGAAGTCTTTTTCTGTCTGTCTAATTAAGCATGGTATCCTAATTAAGGAAGCAAGTACCGGGAAATTTCAGATACCTCATGGCAGAATATTCTGTGGTGGAGTGGAACTTCTCTGTACATTTTAAAATCTAGGTTTACTGCTGAATTGTGTCACCAGTCCTGGTTCTGGTATTTTAAAACCCTTTCTTCACTCTCTAGCTACTCTACAATACAAATGCCAAATTGCATAAAATTCTTACAGTGCTATGTAAATTGGGGCAAATTTATTTGCCCTCTACCTTTCATTATAAAACTTCAGAATGCTTTTAATAGTTCCTATAGTTTTCTTCTGGAGTTAAGTACTTTCAATAAGGATACAATTGTTTGAGAGAACATTTCCTTCCCTTATCGAAAAGAACTGCAATTGGGAAGGGTAGGGGGAAACTGGAAAACATAAGGAACTTTTTTTTCCCAGAATGTAAAATGAAAGTACCCAAAGTTTCCTGAGCTTTTCCTGAGTTTTACTGCACTCCAGTGTATTTCTTGAAAATGCTTTTTCTATGGGCTAATGTTATTCTGGGTCACGTTGTTAATTTTAAAACTTCAGAACTTGCAGTTTCTATTCAATTAATGAATTATTTATTTTTAGGTAATGGTTGATAATATAGATATACAGAAGCTGGTAGTTTTTAAAACTATTAAGCTTTTTTCCTTCCTCTTCTCTTTCCCGCAGTACTTGGGACATGTCGAAGTGGACGAATCCAGAGGAATGCATATCTGCGAAGATGCTGTGAAGAGACTAAAATCTGTATGTACATTTGTTTCATGACAAAGCTGGCTTTGGGGCTGTGAGTGTTACTCAAAAAGGTCCGTTCGGCAGCAGTGCTCCAGCTAAAGCCTGAACTTTTGACCCACGTTAGGAGAACAGTTGGCTGGTTTGAGAGCACTGCTGTGGTGGTTAGGGGGACGTGCTAATCTGATGATGCGAGGGAGAGAGTTACAACTGTTCTTTCTACTTGCAGAAACTATTTGCAAAACAAATGTGTAAAAATCCTCTGTGACCTTTCAGACTAAGTTGGTACCCATATGGGGCTTCAGCCATTGTTTTTTAACAGGTCTTTCTCCCTCTCTCTTTCTCTCTCTCTTTTCTCCCCCTCTCCCTCTGTTGCCTGCCACTTTAATAGTGACTTAATTCACCTTTATTATACAAAATATTACTTGATTTAGGCTGCTTTTTTTCTAATGCACTGCAACATCGTAGTTATGCATGAAATAATCTGGCTTGCATCTGCTCAAAGTGGCCTGGAGGCTGCCTAATTCTGATATGTCATGAACTGGGCTGCTCTTAGTTTGGCTTCTGTGAACGTTTGCTCGGGTAAATGGCACTCGTTCAGAGCTCTTTGTATTTCTATGGCTCATTTGAAGAGGTCTTGTCATCTCTTTCCTGTAGTATTAATATTGCAAAATCCTGTAGAAGTAGCAAACTCCAGAAAGTCAGAGATCAATCTATCGAGGGTCCAAGGCTAAAACAGCATTGAAGAGAAGAGGAGAAAGGACATTTGAATTTAAAGTCTGAATGAAGATACAGAACTTCTGTGCTTTTCATCACTTCTCTTATGTGTCATAGCTATCTATACACAGTCTTCAGTAATGCCTTTAGTGGAAGAAATTCTTATATCTTCCTATCACAGCAAAATTACTGGAGGTAAATCAAATACTTCTGCACCTTTGCTAACTTAAGATCTCTGCTACTGGATATATTTTTTTTCCCCTCACCAAATGTGAGAATTCAACTGGCTTCCAGCTAAACCTGTTCTTTCCTTCTGCCTAGCACATAACAGAGGATTATAGATTATCTTTTCTTCTTTCTGTTGTGCTGCAAAGTTTCTGAATTAGTTTACTGCTCTGATTAAAATCAAGTCTTTTCATTCTTTTCTCTCTCAGCTAATGTATAGCAACCTGTTAAAGCCGCATACCATCTGTTCCCATTGAGTACAACAGTGATTAGTGATTGATTTTTATTAAAAAGGACCACACAAAATATAAATGAGTTTCTTTGTTCTATGGATTTAGTTTATGTAGCTAAAATGCTAGTACTGACCACATAATGAATCGCATCCGTTTTTGTCCTGTTCTGGTTTTCATTGTATCAGGATACTTTCTGTTAGCACACCAAATAATGTTGCAGTATTTACTTTGTGCAGCTTCTTTCATTGTCTTCTCTGGGGAGCTATGCTGTGAAGTATTTGCTTTCTAGGCTTTTTATAAACTTCAAGCCCAGAAGTCAGTTAAGTGTAGCTAAGCTTATAAATACTGAGGCATAGTGAAAGCATAGCACCCAATTTATCCTGGAATCCAGATAATCCCAGGATTGTGATTCTTGATCATCTGAATTACTGATTCAGATGTGAGAAATCTAGCTTCCATAGTGCATCCTCTGGAAGTAAATCGCTTTGTTTCCTATTCTGTGCTATGTGATTATTCCAAATTCTGGATGGCATCAATTCGTTGCCCATTCTCATAAATTCAACGTTTTTTCCAGATAATTTTAATTTCTTCTGCTGTTTGAATTTTTTGTTGCTTATCTACAAAATGGTCTCTTAAGATTGCTCCTTGCATTGTCTCATTTGCCAGTGCTGGAAGTTGAGAAGCAGGTGTGAAATTCTCAGTGGGCCCCAAGAGGAAGATTCAGATTACTGAAACTACTTTGTGCACTTCACTTGCTAGCCTCCATCAGGCCCAGGGTTTGTCTGGAGTTGCTTATTGCAATTCAAACCTTTTCCCCCCCTTGTCAGCTCCCCACCCTGAGCATGTAGGTTTAAACTGGGAACTTTTCTTTAGGATTCTACCTTTATTTAAAGTTCTCTTCTGTACAGTATATTCTCTTAATTAGGAAAAGCCAGACCACTAGATGTTGTTTCAGCATACAAGGAATGCAATAAGAAAACAGTTTGTTCTTCTGGTAGTCTCTTCCTTTCACAGTGCTTGGTTGTTTTGTTGGGGCTTTCTCTTGGTCTTGGAAGGACTACAGGTTTGAGCTCAATCAGAAAGACTAGCTTAAGGAAAATTGGACTTCATTTTTAAATGTATGTGGCCTATGTTAATCTGTATTATTTTCTTCACAGGTAACATATAGGTTTTGTAAATCAGTCAGTAAATAATAGTTCTGTTCTCATAGAGGCAGAATCATTGAAATACTTGTAGTTTCTAAAACTAAGTTCTGTCTGCCTGTACTTTTTTCAGTAGGTACCTTTTCCTCTTAATTCTTGTTCTCCAACAGTTTACAGTTCACTTGGGGAACTGAAATATGCTCTTTTTTAGGGCTGATTATTTGATTATAAAACATTTTATGGGATTTGTCTAGAAGAATACAAAACTATTAATCTTTGTTTTAGGAATACCTTTATTTCTGCTTTGCTTTTTGAAAGAAAAGATGCAAACAAATTATTTTCTCTCTTTATTGTGGGGAAGTGTTCTTCCAGTTTTTTTATTACCTGGTGGTTTAGTATGCCGTAATTATTTTTGAGCACTGCATCTTGCAGAACTTAAAACCAAATAATTGTAAGCATTTTGTTCAGGGATTTTTAAATTGATAACTGAGTAAAATAAGACATTTTTAGCTAGAGAATCCTTCATCCATCCTCAATTCTGTTGTTACAGTTCTATAGCTCTCAAACTGCATTCCAACAGCACTATGATGTGCAGATTACAATTTTGCTTACAATGAATGAAGTCAAACTTTAGTTATGTCACTTTTGCTGTTTGATGAAATGATACAGCAGTTTTGTTAATAGATCAGAAACTGCTATCGCTGTCTATTATTAACATTAGTTTATGTTACCAAAAAGCTTACATTTTTCCCTTAGGATATATTACTAACTGTATATTCATTTCATATCTGGTAGGATCCTCATATTTTGATACTAAGCACTAAATGGTTTCTTCAGAACTATTTCCCTGAATTACTGGAAAATTACTTTGTAAGGACACTGTAAGGTAGCTTTGTAAACGTATTTGATTCAGGTATGGGGACATAGTATAAAGACAAAAGTATTCTCTCTCATGTCATGTTTTGATTTTTAAATCAGCTTTAGTGTGTAGTATTGGTTTCTAACTTGCCACTTTTTGTTTTAAATTATGCATTTGTTTTAATATATGTTCTTGTTTTAGCAGGTAAAGAGACATAATTTAATATTTTAAAACATGCATTAGTTATCTCTAAACTACATTAACTTAGTGGTGTTTAAAACCCATTTTGCATGATGCCTTTTCCATTAACATTTCTAGTTTATTAAAAATAAATAAATCTTGTTTAACAAGCATTTTGCTGAGAGCAAAATTAACCATCATCTAAAAATGAGGTAGCTTCTGGTGAATCTCTTTAGCTTTTGCTATCTTTAAAAAGCTGTTATTTAGCGTAATTGCTCAACTTGGCAGCAGCATCCAGCCCCTTCTCATTATGTATACAACGCTGTGATTAATCCATTAGTTCCCCTCCTAGTGTTCAGCATATCCTGTCCAAATATACATGACCGTTCTTGTTTCTAAAAACTGTTAAGCATTTCAGCTGACTACACTTAGAGATGTTCTTATACAGTGCCTGTGTTGACATAAATATCGTATGGATACTTGTTGAGAAGCTCTGTGGAAGGACATCGGGCAGAGAGAAGCACTCAGCAGCAAAAGTCAGGAAATGCAAAGTCGAGATTGACACTCCCTTCTTAACTTTGTTTCCTGGCTTTTGTTGGCTTGCGTCAGAACCATAGCTTTGTTTTAAATATAACCTTGTTTATCAATCAATTCTGGAGACACTGCCTCAGGATATTTGCAATAATATTTTTAATATAGCACTGTTATCAGCGAGCAACATGCTGGAGTGACATGGTGGTAATTTGAGGTCAGGGCTGTCAGAAAGCCGCGCTCTGTCTCATGTGGAATTCTCCACCTCCACCCCGTTACTGCTCTACCACAGTTTTCTTGCAAGCTAAATAATTTGAAAAAATAGCAAGAGCAGTGATACGCTTCAGCACTGGCTTCCATCAAGTACTGAGCAGTGTGTAGCGATGCACGCAGGACGCCAGGCCCAGAGAAGTATTCTCTCATCAGATCAGACAGATCTTGCAGTTTTCTTTTCACAGTCTGGTAACAAAACAAAGCTAGTAAACTAAACTGCATGCAAATATGCTTAAAATTGAGTCCTGTTTTTTGTTTTGTTTTGTTTTGTTTTTTTCCTGAATATGAATTGGGCAATCATTATAATCACTTTCAGGCTGAAGAAATTCAGGAACTTGTAGTTCAGCTCTTTGTATCTTTGCCTTGGCCTAACTCCTTCTCAGAGCTGACTTTCAAGGGTTCTTGTTCAACCTATAAACCCAGAGCTGTAGAATGAATGTCCAGTAGTCGCATAATGTGTTTAAAGTCTTGAAAGACTGAAAGAGAAAAGGAACTCATTTGTGTTTTAGTTAAGGTAAGAAAAAATTCTTTACTGGTCAGAGAAGGCCATATAAAATGCAAAGTGTAAGAGTAGCGTGTAAACCAAAATAAGAAATAAGTGGAATAAAATGAAGCACCAAAAATGCTTTTTCAGCATTTAACATTGTGTTATCCCAGCTACCATATGTGCTTCTCCAGCTTACGTTCTCCACTTGCTTTGGGAAAAAGCGATCAATACAGAGCAAATTTGACCGTAACTCTGGAGTTAGAACTTTGCATTTCACAAGAGCCTGCACAGTGTTTTAATTGTTTAACCACTATGTCTGCTGCCAAGTTTTGTTTATAACCCAACTAAAGGGGACTAAACAAGGGAGAGTGAAAATAAAGTAACCACTTTGCATGAAATTGGGGCTGAGGTTCTCTTCTTTCCACCAATTTCAGGGCAGTAGCTTATTAGAATCGTGTGTGTGTCCTTTGATCTGCATTTTCATGGGATTATTTTCACATTTGCCTGTCGCACCTTCTCATGGATAACTCTAAAAACCCCTTCCTTTCCCTCCAAACCCTATTCTTGTGTGTGCTTGTTGGTTTGAAACCCTGGGACATTTTAGCTACCTTCAGTAATAGCGCTCGACTTGTCCCCCCTGTTCCTCCAGGAAAGGAAGTTCTTCAAAGGCTTCTTTGGAAAAGTAAGTTTAACGCCTCATTTGTGCTTGCACTATAAGGAGTTACATCCCTGGTATAGCACTGCTATAAAATTAGGGTGTTGAGAATTCCTTAATCTGTTTCAGAATATTTGTTTCTAAAATCCAAGTCTTCCCGGACTTGGAAGTATATTGATCAAGTAAAGAACATGGTTGAAAAAGTGTCCTGAAATTGAAACTTAACTCTGTATGGACTGTATCAGAAATTCAGTGTTCTGAAATTATTTGGTCTTCCTGAAAAAAAAAAAAAGGTGAATTTTCCTTTTAATCCCTTAAATTTGTGCCAGCCTACATCACCTGGGCAAACATCTCCAGAACAGTCGGTGTCTGTGCCTGTAAGCACTGCAGGACTGGCTGCCTGGCACCGCACGCTTGCCCAAATGTTAGTGTGGGGAGAAAGCAGTGAGCCCACACGTACCATCTCCTAAACCCTTCTTTTCGGAGCACAGTCCAAATTCAAAGATGCGTGAAGATGAGACCAGGCATTTACCTGCTGTTTGTTTTTCTAATTGCAATTCTATTGTAGAGTAGAAAGCTTTGCTGTTTATCATTGCTCTTGTTTTCCTGCGGACAGTGTCATAGACGTGAAGGGAAGCAACTGTTTGTCCTTATTAAGAATGTGCTGTACTGGAGACTGGATTATTATTTTTTTTATTCCTGCTGTCTACATCTCCATAAGGCAGTGTTTGTAAACCTCTAAAAGAGCTCTTTGACCTCCCATCTGTTAACTGCCTCTGCATTTAAAATTCTTGTAGGATGTTTCTGTGTAGTTTTTGTATGGAATAAATCTAAGATACCGCTGTTGAAACATCTTCTTATAAGCTGAATCTTGGCTTAAAAAGAAACTAACAAGCTTGTAACTTACATACAAAAATCTTTCAGAGCGGGTTATTCTCTGCTCACACATTTGTCTTGGCTTTGCTTGAGAAGTAACTAAGAGCTTTTTCAGCTGCACCTTTTTCACTTTTCACTCAGATTGTGGTGCGTGTCATAGAGGGACAGGCATCTCCTCAGTTCAGGTTTCTTCCTATGGTCTGGGAAAGCACTCTTGTGATGTGTAGAGATAGTGAAGAAGTAAGCTCTTTTTTGGAGGGGAGTGGAAGTGGGTATCAAAATACCGTATGTAGGAGATTAATCTGTCAGATTGATCTGATCATTCCTACATGGAAACAAAATTTAAGAGCTGAGATCTACAAAGACTGGAGCGAAACATTCTGTTTGCTTTACAACTGAAAATATGAATTTCTTCTTAGAATTTGTTTAAAACAAACATAAAAGACCCACCTCAACCTGATCGAATACCAGTTAGGAAAAAGAAAGCCAACATAGTACTATTATGTGTTTGAAAGTAATGATATGAAAGGACAGAGTTTGCATAGCACTTGAAAATCTCTTTTACTTTTTTAGGAATTAATCTGTTAAAAATGCCAGCTTTCTCTTTACATCTTTGTCACTTTTTAATGAACTCCAGTACTTTGCCATAGCCTTGTAGATTTTTTTTGCCTTTTATTATAACATTTTGCCAAAAAGAAACCTACTTCTACTTCAGGCAGTGAAGTTACATTAATTAGTACTGAAACCACTGAAATCCATAGTGTTTAGATATCCCTGCAATGTTGGTATGTCTTTACTACCACTTCAGCCTACAACAGCTGGCCAAATCTAGGGAAAAATATAAAAGAAAAAAAGTTATTCTCTTACTAGTATTTGAGGAATAGTTATAACTAATAGCTTTTGTCTGTCTCATCTATAATTTCTCCCCAGATGCTTTGCTTTGGGATTAATATAACATTCCAAACCACAGAGTTGCTTGAAATTCGCTACTGGTTTTCAGAAGGTCCATGCAGATAGATTTGCTTCTTTCCCTGTCCACTTTTTTTCTCTGCCAGAAAAGTAAATCTGAATGAGTTGTGTCAGGAAGTGTTATTTAGTCCTGGACCTGACATTGAAAATACTTCATCTGCAGCTTAAAATAAAAATAGGATGTCCATTGCCAGCTCCAGGTTAGATTTCTGCTGTTTCGTTTTGTGTACAGAAAGTAACCGAATCAGCAGCCTTTTTAGGCAGCTCTCTGTGTTTCAGAACTAAGCCTTTTCTGCGTTAATGAATAGTAGTACAGATTCAGATGATCTTTCTCATGTTTTGCTTCCCCTGAGTACATGTATTTCTTGGCATGCAATGTTTTGTTCAGAGACTGAGATGAACATTTTTCTTTTTGTATATCTCAGGCTCCAGAAACATCTTACAGCTGGTTTTAAGTCCCTTGCCAGAACAAAATAGGCAGATACCGAGAACTCCATAATCAGCCAAAAGACTAGAAACGATTTAAAAGTATTTAAAAATGCATTATTGGGCAGCATTCATTCTGTTCTGGTATCCTTAAAGCTTTACTTTCCACCTTGGAGTGCAGCTGCTACTTAATTCCATGTCCTATCACTTCTGACAGTCCAATTGTCACGTCCAGCACTGCAGTTCAGGAGCTGTGCGTTTCAGTTTTAGTCAGCTTCATTTTCTTTTCTTTGATGCCCGTGGCTAGGGTGCTGCCTGCTTGTCTGAGAGGTTTCCATCACGCTTTGTTTTTAGCCTTGCCTTCTGTTCTTGAGGGTGCCTCACCTGCCTTCCTGAGGCTTCTGAGGGCTCTGAAAGGAGTAAGAGAAGGAGTCTCGTGCTGGAGCAGATTAGCAGCCTCACAGAAAATGCTAAGTGAGCTTCCTAGCGTGGCTGATTCAGCACTGCCAAATCAGGCTCCTGGGAGCTGGTGCCCTGAAGTGGCTCCCCTCCAGCAGCGTCATCATCCAACAGCATGTATGTGAGGACAGCCTACTGATACAGACAGCTAGATGGGTCCTGATATGCACTTATCCATATCAGGAGTGCAGACATCTACATTCTAATCACGATCTCCTTGGCAATATCCCACGTTAATAGAGTAGTACATTGATTTATGTAGCCAATATAAACTAATTTGGCGAAGCTGTGTTCTTTAATGCATCAATCTCTCCACAGATAAAATGAGGATTCGGTAGATGGAGAAATCATATGTTTCCCAGTGGTAGTAGCTGTGGGTTTAGGATAGAGAGGGTGAGAATTTATTCTAAGCATTGCATCCACCATAAATCTAGAAGAAAGGATTTGGAAGGTAGACTTGCTTTGGCTTTCTCTTAGTGTAACAAACCTGCATTTGATTATCTTGCTTGAGGAAGCTTACATTTCCAGTACAAGAGGAGGATTATTTAGCCTTTTATTTTTATTCTGAGAAATAAGGAGTTCCATGCGTTAGCTATTTCTAAGTCCTCATTTAGTAAAATAGCAGATGAGGACTAGCTCTGCAGAAGTTCAGTATTGCTTTATGAAGCATCCATCTGAGTTAAACCCAGCTTGTTCAATGCAAACTTCAGCTACCATTCAATGTTTCACTCTGCAGAGAGAAGGTTGGTTTTATTTGCTGGGAAAAGACATCCTAGTTTGTTGGTAGTCCAAATGATGGATATGATGGTAGTCCAAACAGAGCAGTTACCCACAGGCGTTGTCTTCTCGCAATTTTTCATGTCACTTGAAATGAGGATTTTAGGACTACTAATGGCTTGTAAGAAACTGGTACTTCTTTGTAAAACAGTTTGAGACAAATCTCTACAAGCCATCTCTTGTTAGGATTAACAGGGATTTTTAGGCTATGAAAACTACCCAAGCACTGAAAATACATACTGTATTTTATGCTCGTTGATGTTTACTGCCTCTTAAGACCAAAAATTACAGGCAACTTTTAAATGCTAAAATGTTTTTTTGTGTGTATGATGGTAACTTTAAATACATCCTCTTTTGTGAACAATACTCTTTCCATTAGGCATTCCAGAGTCTGAAAGCTTTACTTTAGACCTTCTCTGGGATATTCAGCAGGCTGGATGGACGTTTAGAAACTTGCTTCTGCAAGCACTTCTGTAGCTTGTTTTCATACTGTGCTTGCTTTCTCTCCTGTCTCTTTTATTCGCTGTTCTGCACAAGTCAGTGCAGTTCTGTTCTCACCAAGCTGTCTGAAAATGCTCTGGTTGTCATTGCTGCTTCAGAAATTGGGACAGATAGTTCCTCCCCAAAAACAAACACAAGTCCTGCCAGGCTGGTTTTCTTCACACTTTCTGCGTTCTCTGAGAGTGAAACCAATGTGATACAGCAGGTGATTTATCAGCCCAAGATGATGATGATGGTAATAATAATAATAAAAATCATCCTTACAATGTTAAAATCAGAGTTGCTAATTTGGAACATGCAGTAGTTTATGCCAGAATGTGTCCTTGCTCAGCTAAGTGCCATATGATTATAAATTATATGCATCTGTAGTGAATTATTAAAAATAAAATGCAATTTTGGCACAAAGCCACTAGCTGATATCCCCCTGATCACCCTTCTTTTTCTGTTATTGTTGCTCTGTTCTCTTCCAGCAGTGGTCAGTGGCAGCTGCCATTAGCAGCCCCAAACTAACTAAACCTACTGCTTCAAAAAAAGTTACGGGGAGAATAGTTTATTAACTTAAAGGTTAAAAAAAATATAGAGAGAGAGTATGGGACTTTGAATCAAAGTAACACATTAAAAATAGTGGGGTTTTGGTGGTAGTAGTTCTCTGTAACAACCCACAGAATATGTCGACACATTGTGCCTATCCGATGAATTCGTTTCAGAAGAATGTTGTCTTGTGTTTATACTGTTTTCTGCAACTCTCCCTTAAAACATAAACAGTTCAGAAAGAATCTGTAGTTGATACAGCTCCTGAAGCCTTCCTGTGTTTCCCACTTTTACTCACCCTCAGCTTGTGGCAGCTGAAAGTTCCCACAGTCAGATCTTGGATAACAGCCAGAGTGCTCCTCCACTGCTTCAGCCTGCCACACGATTGCTTTTCCAAGATACGCATCCGATGGTTAACAAATCACATTTTTCTACCTCTCCTCCAAGGTGTGACATTCACCTCTCAATAAATTAGTAAAATGTGTTTGGATGATTGATCTTAACATTAAGCTCGTAACACCATAACCAATGATTTCTGGGTGCTTTTAACACTGGTTTAAGGTGATGCCATGGTTCTGCCATGCGAGTATAGGGGCAGAGGGTAGGGCTGTTGGAAATACCAGGTAAGAATTTTCCTGTGTTTAAACTTCACTCAAGCTACCTGGGGTGTAACTCCTTATGAATTAGTGTTATCTGACTCTTTAGTGGAACTCTTCACCCACTTGGTCAGTCTTGAATCCTTTACTGTACATGGATATACACCCTATTTTTGACTCCACCTGTTCCGTGCCCTCTCCCCATCCCCATGATGTGCTCTTTCTGAAATACTGGCTTTGGCTTGGTTCTCTGAATGTTTTGCAACTTGGATTGAGTATCTGGCTTTGGGCACCCCACTGAACGTGGACTTCATCTACACTTAATGTTATGGTTCTTGGAAAGGGGGAATGAGTGGCAGTCTGATACTGTTGACATAAAACTGTTTTTCTCTCTTTCTTTTTCTTTTTTTGAAAGACTGGGAAGAAGGCGGTTAAAGCAGTCCTATGGGTTTCGGCGGATGGACTCAGAGTTGTAGATGAGAAAACAAAGGTTAGATTTCCCTGGACAAAAGTTCAAAGTTTCTTTATAATTACATATATGCTATAACTTTAAATGACCATCAACCTTTGTCTTAATGCAAAAGTTGGTATCTGAAAGAAAGATTTAAGTGTATAGTTGGTTTAATCATTTCTTGCTTAGTAAACATACGTATGCCTGTTAATTTTGTTTCTCTATTAATGTCACAGTACTCTGAAACCACATTTGATAAAATGTGGCAGGTAGCAGAAGCTTGGAGCTATTTTTGTTGTATTTGCCTGAAGAACCGTTTTTCCTGATGACTTCTGTTGACAGTGAACTTGTAGCGAGTCCCTTGGCTTTTGTTCTGTACAGCTTCAGAAGGCCATGAGAGAAATACATGAGGAAGTTCATGTTAATCGATATAATTTCAATGCATTCAAATCCCAGAAAAGGCCTGAATAAATGAGAACTAGCTTCTAGAAATATGAGGAGGAGAATAAATGAAATAGGGTTGTCTCTATACTAAACATCTTAAACTCCCTTCAAATTTAAGATAAATGGATATCAAATTCTGTAATTCCTAATTTTAGTATCTAAGCTGTTGGTCTCAAGTCGAAGACTAATGTATTCATGGCTTCCTCCTAGATTGTTTTAGATTTTTTCATTGGGAAATAGCACAATGTATAGCACAAAAGTGCCTGTGTACAGGTAAAAGCAAACAATTTTTGGATTTAGCTAGATGTAGGCAATTAGAAATAAGAGCTTTAGGCTTGCCTTTGTAATGTTACTTCTATTTTAAAAGATGACGTGGCAATCAGAACAATTTTAATTAGTCTGAAATTAATTTGTTCGATATTCACGTCTTTTAATGCTTACTTTGTTGACCTAAAAGATGATTTCTGCAAGCCAACAGTGAGGATCGGGTAGAGATAATTCATATCCTTCTGCAGTACAATTACCCGATGAACACCTGCTCTGTGGGTAGACATCTCCGGGGCTGTTGTTAGGGTATGCTTCCTCAGCTCTGGAGTTTCTTTTAAGAATTTAGTATCAAATACAAACATACTGAGGCAGGTGAATTTGGTCTACTGATTGCCTTTTAAAAAACAACAAATATATATACTTAGAAATGTTACTGTGTATATTTCATCCTTTAAAATTAATTTTAATAAGATGTGCAGACCTTGGAGGTAATTAAAAGCATAGGGCTTAAAAAAGAGAATATAATATTGCCTCCTGGTGGTTGAGTACATTAGCACAGATACCAAGTACTAACCGCCAAACAAAAGAAACAATTCCGAAAAACGGTGAAAAAATATTTTTTTTAATGAAGATAGCATAGTTCTTAAATTATACTAGCTCCTTTATACAAACACTTCTGCCATCAGCTTGTAGGAACAAATAGGGGGTGTTTGATACCACGAGTACTGCCGGTGCTTTTCCATTTTATCCTTGCTTAGGTAATTGGCATGTTAGCTTTTGCTTTTTGTGTTGTAGCTGCTAGATCTTTTCACATTTATAGACTTCCCCCATTAATTTTCAAGATGGTATTTTAACCACAGTAGAGATTTTTTTGATTGCTAGAGCACAATAAAAATAAAATGAAACAAATTCTCCTTTTCCCCATGCTAGCTCCATAGTCTAGAGGAGAGATCTTAAGAATTGTGTTCCTGAGTTCTTAAGTGGTTGCCTAGTTGCACGTTTACCAAAGATGGCTGGTGGAAAAAGAGGTCTGTCCTTTTTTGTTTCATACTGGGAATAGTTTCTGAATGGCAAATTCATTTGATAGATAATTGTAGCCAAGTGAGGTTATCATCTTTTTAATGTAATGCATTTTGCAGCTAACGCTGAAAATTACTTGTTCCATTGTTTCTCCACATTTCCTCATGTTTCTTTTTTTGGGGATCCTCTAGGATCTTATAGTTGATCAGACAATAGAGAAGGTTTCTTTCTGCGCACCAGACAGGAACTTTGACCGGGCATTCTCATACATTTGTCGAGATGGCACTACGAGACGCTGGATATGCCACTGCTTTATGGCCGTAAAGGACACGGTAAGTTTTGTTACGGTGTGTCTTCCTGCTTCAAGCTGGAAGTTACATGGAGAAAACATAACTGCACAGAGTACTGCGATACGTTTTGACTTCAGCTAAAATATTACTTTTTCCTTAAAATTATTTTAGTTCTAATTCTTTATATCTGAATTGTTTGCCATTTCTCTGTGATGTCTTCTTGTGGAGAGAAACAGTGCCCAGCATGGTGTGTAAATGGAATGCAGTCAGCCTCAGATATCTGTAGCAGAAGGGAACTACTCTTCTAAAAATAGACAGAAGATACTCTCATCTGAAAATGTATACAGCCAAAAACTGAAACAGCAGTGACAGTTTTTCCAGGATAAAATCATAGTGAGTAAATACAGACTGGTTATGAATGTAGCCTCTTGTATGCAAATGTTAAGGGATGGAGCTAAAATGAATTGAATTAGGGTCCTATTTCCTTCTAAATGTTAGAGATTTTTGCATTAGAAGGTTTGAAAGCAAGTTACCTATATCAGTCTTTTGCTGTGTAGAGTTAAGTCATTTATCTCCCTGATATCTAGTCTTTTACTTATGTGGCTTTTTATGGAATCCTGACTACTACACAATGGCTTTCTTTAAAGAGAAACAATGAAGTTAGAAATTCCCATTTAAATGTATGTTAGAGCTGGAGCATTTTTATTTCCTTCTGCGCATAGCAGGTCAGTTTGTTTACCGATTATTGCAGATGAGGTGAGCTACTGCTAGTAATAGCACCTCTGACTCAGCTGCGGCCTCTGTATCAGCTGGAGTGCCAGACTTCCTCTGACTTGAATTTCATTTCCTTATTGCAGTTATTGGGCAGTGGATCCTTTTGACCTCACTGGTTAATCATGGAAGTGCCTTCTGGAAGGCACTCTCAATACTAACGTCTGCATTTGGTCAGGGCCATTCAGGGATATTAATAGTCAGTTGTACTTTCAAGTTTCATGCTTGCACACAACAGTATTGTCTCCCTGCACCCTCTGTAAACTTTTTCTGTTTGAGAATAGCATTTACCTATCCTTTAGGACTTAAACCTGCATAAAATGGCTTAACTAGAGTTCCTTTGTGCACAAATGTATCCAGAGGCAAGGGATCGGTGCAGGCACATTATCACACTACTATTGTAGTAGCAGTTGAGCTAAACAGATTGTCTGACAGTCTTTCAGTTCTGGGTGGCCTTTGTGCTTGTGCATTCATAGTTGTGAGTCTTTATCTATCAGGTTTAATTTTAGAGCCATACAAGGTGGCCAATTACAGTAGTTCTCTTTAATGCCTTAATTAGATCTCTCTTGTAAAGGCAGGTTATCAGTTTGCAATGTTTGAAGCACATGGATGTTGCTGTTCCAGTTACTGTATGATGCAATATTGTCTTGTACAGGGGGAAAGGTTGAGTCATGCCGTGGGCTGTGCATTTGCAGCGTGCCTGGAGCGCAAGCAGAAGCGAGAGAAGGAGTGTGGAGTGACTGCCACCTTTGATGCCAGCAGAACCACATTCACTAGAGAAGGGTCATTCAGGGTCACTACAGCTACTGAACAAGCAGAAAGAGAGGAAATTATGAGACAGATGCCGGATGCTAAAGGTACGGGGTGCAACTTACACAGTCATCCATAGTGAGCAGAACAAGCATTGAGGTGCAGTAGAGCCCCTGCAAGGACAGGGCTTAACATCCATCCTCACAAAATTCCCTCTCTCGAACTTGGTTACGTACAAATCATATTTCCAGACACTTGTCACTTTGCAAGATGAAAAGTGCTCCCAGTTTCAGTCCTAGGGCGTTTTTCCCTATTTCCTCAAGAAAAAAGTGCAAGGGGCTTCATATGTATAAGTGACTGGACAAAGCTGCTTCTGCTTTGTTTTGTCTGCCTGCTTTATGGCAGAGGGCATCATAGGCACTGTACTAAAGGGCCTTATTAGAGAAATGTTATAAAAATGTAAGAACTTTGCCAGACTTGAAGTAATCCTTTTTGTTGTCTAAAGGTTTTTGTAAATGAATAGGAAGTGGTGTCGTTTTTCTTAGAAAACAATGTAGTTTTATTTCACTTTTTAGAGTGTGTTACAAAGTTTCTGTATACTTATATTGCATGAGGGACGTACAGGTCGATCACAAGTGTGCTTTCTAAAAATAAAACCAAAACCAAACACAAACCACCAAAAATCACGTACTAGTTATATTCAAAAATAGTAACTGGCTGTTTTGAGAGGAGCTAGTTTTTACTACTTAGCCATTTAAAACATGGCAGTGTTCTCAAATTCAAGTGAAAGTAGAACTTCTTACCCGGGTTTTATTACCAGTACAGTTCTGCTTGTCATTCTACAACTAACAAAAAGTAAGTATTATAAATATTGTCTATAGTCCTCTTTACAGTGGAGTTGAACTTTCCATAGCAAGTTTTATTCTGCCGCTCTATTGCAAAACTTTAATCTTCGTTTTCATCATCCATCTGCTTGTTCCCATACGTTAGTTTCAGAATGTGCTAAATGAAGCTTAAACACAAGGCCTTTGTTACTGGAGGGCATGAGTCAAAGTCTTGACTCAATGAAGGTGTGTGAAATCCCTTCCAAGAAAGACTGATTAGAAAAGTTTCACTTGAACGAGCAGCTGCAGCTCATGGGTACTGAAGCTTGCAAGACAACATAATTAGTTCCTCTGACCACTCCAGCTCCTCAGAAATCTCCACTGCAGCTCTGCTTTTACCAGACTTCTAGTTCTTCTGTTGATGTGTCAACAAAAACAGTCATTGTTTCTTGTATGAAGTTTGGAAAGCATTGTAAGCGTTGCTGGTGCTAGCAAGGCCTGCCAGCTCGGGCTGGATCTGCTTTGCAGCTCACTTCCACCTCTCTGTAATGTATTCCCTGGGGTTGCTGAGGAGCTGCTGTTGGAGCACTGAATGCGGCCTAACCTGTTAAGTGCTAACTCTGGCCTGCCGGAGCTTGTGCAGGGTGCTTGGCCACTGCTGCTGATTCTGCAGGGGTAGGAGGGTGGCTTTTAAAAGAAGCTCCTAGGGCTGCTCTGTTCCCTGCAGCTGCTGAGCTACACCACCCTCATTAACTGAATAAAGTTAGTAGTAAGATTTTGGCCGTGATCTATTCTTCTAGTTCTATGTGAGGCAAAATAAACGCCTCAGACACATAGTACACTTTTCAGTCTTAATCATAAGTCAATTACAGGTGTTTCTAGGGCAGTGGTCTCAGGAACAGCTAGGAAGACTACATAGACAAGGCCGTCTTTTCTAAGAAGTGGCAAGCCTTAGTAAGCTTTGCTTTGGAGAATGGGTATATGTAAAGTGACACGGTGAAGCCTATGAAAGTACAAAGAAATAATTTTTCTGTAGTGGCATTAGAAACCTGTTTGTTGGAAGAGTACTAGCTATGCAAATTCTTGCAGTTTCTCTTTTCAGAACAAATGGGAGTAGGGGCAGGCAGTTGAACAATATATTGCTTTATTCATCTAACCTCACCGTATTTCCTCCAACAGTTGAAACAGAAATGAAAACAGTAGCACCAGGTGCTGCACCAACCAATACTGCCCCCTCTCCTGGCTCCCCAGCCTCTCCTACTACTGATGTTGCTGCCTCTCTGGATAAAGAAATGAGCAATCCCCACGCTATTCCACGAAGGCATGCCCCTATAGAACAGCTTGCCAGGCAAGGTTCTTTCCGGGGCTTCCCTGCCCTTAGTCAAAAGATGTCTCCTTTTAAGCGCCAGTTGTCCTTGCGAATAAATGAACTGCCTTCAACAGTGCAAAGGAAGACTGATTTCCCCATGAAAAACTCAGGTAAAATCAAATGCCTCCAGTGAAACATTTCCTTAAATTGTCTCTTCCTCCTTTCCTTGTCTGTGGCTTCAAATAACTCATTGTGTGTAGTAAATTCTTCTTCCTGCCTCATGTGAATCATTTCTCATGAGCAAACATTGTCAGGTCAGAATACTTCTACTTCTGGAATATGCAAGAATTTCAAATACTGTATTCGCATGCAGAAGGCAAGCAGCTGTAATCATTATCTGAAATACTGGAGCACAGCTTGAAGTGTTCCGGGAACACTGTTGGTGAGTTAGTAGATGCTGCACTTCCCTCTGAGTCACTGAACCAGTTCCTCCTCTTAATGCCAGGGCATCTCGAGAGTCAAATCCTGTCAAGGCCTTAACCACAGGTCGTGGATTTGTGTGACGTTTTTCTGTCTGTCAGCCCTTCTGAGCTCTTCTTTCTGACAGGAATAAAACTGCTTTCCACCTCGCGTTAAAGGAACTTTTCTGTTTAGGTGGCACAACTGGCTGCCCCAATAATGCGTGGTACAGGTTTCACATGGTGGTAGTGGGGTTTTATAGAGTCATCCCAACATAAACATCTGGGGTGATCAGTACCTTGCATAAGAGCCTGGAATCCCTTTAGCTAGGTTATCCTGCAGGACAGCTGTACTCTCACTTGGCAACAGAGCTACTTTTAGGGTTTAAGCTTTAAAATAAAAATCGCTATGGCAAAGGAAAAAAAAAAAAACAACCACCAAAATACCTAATCTGATTTCTCTTAAAATACTTATTTGGTGACCTGTGCTTTAAGACCAGTGTTGAGTTTATCAGTTTAACAGTAGTGGTGTGCTGCTTACTAGACTTATGCTGGCTGAGCACACAACAATCTGAATTCTTCCTAATTCAGAGCATTTGATGCATGTTCCTGGATATGAAGCTGCCGGTGCTGTTTAATGTCACACGATAGGTGCTATATTGGAACATCCCTCAAAGAATCATTTTTTGGGCACGCCTCCCCCTATATGTTCAATATAGTGCATGTCATATCCACCCATCCTGTGGTTTTTGTACTGTTCCATTTCTGCTTAATTGTGCCTGCTCGTGTCAGTTCAGTGCAATGAAGGACTGATGAGCAGTACTTCTGAAAAGTTGGGCAATTAGAAATAAGGAGAACAGCTGGTAAGTCAGTAGTTTTACTCCACTGTTACTTTATCTGCACTGTACTGATATTTGGTTTAAAACTGAGGGTCCATTTTACTTGTGCGTTCAACTTCTGCTTTCATAATTTTAACACAGGAGCTAGTGAGCTCAGCTACACTGAACTGGAGCAATTGACACTCTAGAATTAACTTGCCCCCATGTATTGCTGTCTACATGTTTACACTTCATCTGGTTTCTGTACGAGTACAGTGTTGGAATAGTTAAATTATCATAAGTACTTTCATTTCACAAAATTTCGAATCTTAGTGCCAAATCCCCAGTATGTTTAACAGTTTAATACTGAAAGATTAAAACTCTTATTAAAAGCTATAGAAAAACCTTTTATTTTATGAAATGAACGTTTTCTTGCATTAACATAGAGAAGATGTAATGACTGACTTGAAATGTGGAACACTGATCTCCTCACCCTCTTGACTATGTCGTAAAATACAGTGATATGGCTTTGCATTTCTACCATTCTTTCTATTTCTACCGTTTTTTCTATTTCTACCGTTCTTTCTATTTCTGTCACATCTTCAACACCCAATTTAAATTTAAAAAAAAAAAAAAAAGCTGTCATCCAAGTCAGTATTCGAAACATCTAAGAGATAAAGAAACTAAATATATTTCAGTTTAACATCTGTATTTATAAATTGTTTCTGTATCCCTTAAACATAATTTAATGAATTTTGTTTACATTTTAGTCCCTGAGGTAGAAGGGGAAGCAGACAGCATTAGTGCCCTGTGCTCTCAGATCACCAGTGCTTTCAGCACACCATCGGAAGATCCTTTCTCTTCAGCCCCCATGACGAAACCAGTGACAGTAGTCGCACCACAGTCTCCTGCCTTTCAAGGTTTGTCATTTCTTTGGTTGCTGTGGTCATGCTGGATGAGGCTTGAATGCACAGAATGTTGCTTTCCAGTAACACGTGGTCTTAATTTCTTGTATTGGTCTTGTATCTTAATTTTCTGTATCAGTATTTTGGGGTCATGCATCCTGCTTTATTCATCTCATCTGTTCAGTTTTTCTGTGTTTTTAACAAAAAGTTCATGCACCTACCACACGATAGTTACCTGTAAAAGGGACTGGCGTTAAGATGAATGGCTATTTTAATCATTCTGCCTCCTGAACTGGAAAAATCTTAACTATTATGCATCATAGGAAACCAAATCCAGCACAGGAAGAAGATTTTGTGCCACCATGATTACCATTGTTCACAGAAACTCCCAGATAACCTATGGAGCTGTAAACTATAGAACTCTTAGTAGCCTCTAATCTTCATTCCACTGATGTGCTTTTATACAAATAGTGTGGGGAAGGAACCTCTCCTTGTTAAATGTAGTTGTTATTTTGCATCCAAAATCCGTTGTTCTTTGGAGTTTAAAATTAATTATACTGTGACTTCTGGTGAGCTATATCTCTTCTCTAAAAACCAACAAATTTAACTTTGGTCAGTTAGGAGAATAGAAGGCCTCATTGAAACACAAAACCCCACCATCCCACAACTGTTAACAAGAGTTGCCTTGGTGAAATAGAATTTACGAGCTTCATCAACTGTCAGTCCAATTTGGCTAATTTACACAAACTGCTGTCATGTGGAAGTGTTTAAAATTGTATGTTAATAGTTACAACATGGCCCACTAATATTCCAGTCATGTGCATGCCTTGCATGAATTAATTGCACTGATGTTGTCTGCTCCCATTTTAGTTAATGGCACTGCCTCTGCCTTCTGTGTGCTTGCTGCTAAACCATCCCAAGCTGCTGTTGTGTCCACAGCTATGCCAGTTCGTGAAACCAATCCTTGGGCTCATGCTCCTGCTGCTAATACTGGAGCTGCAGCCGTGGTCTCCGGTAAGATTGGAAGTAGATCCTGTGCATTGCTATGAGAACTCAGATCAAAAGCATAATTGAGCCCTTGAGATTGCTGTCAGTGGCACTTAATGAAAAGTGGAAGGAACAATAACAAAAGCTGGAAGTAGTAGCCTTTTGCACAAGTGGATGGAGGGAAGCTATGAACTGACTGGTCCTGGGTCTGCAATCTAGACTGTTTCTTATTTTGGCAGTGTTTTAGAAAATCTGATGCTTAAAAAAGGAAGTAATGAAATAGCGTGTTGGAGAATCAAGAGGAAAGAGTCTGTATGCTTACCCAAAATGATTTTTTGCATTCTTGCTATGAACGTAGATAAGGAGAGATTAAGTTGGGTGGCTGAAGACTTTAGAAATTCATTTCTTGTTTAATAAGTTTAGTCTGTCCATACAGTCCTTGTCTATATTCATATCCAATGTAAGGTGGTAATTTAATGGCTGTAACCCTGTATGGACAAATACGCTAGAAAGCTATGAACAAACATTTCCTGGTGCAAGCGTCACCAGAAACAACCTTGCTAGTGAAATAGGTTCTGTTTGTCCTTGTAACAGTACCAGGCCCATTACCAGTCAGTCTTCCTCCGTAAGAGAGAGACTTTAAGCTCTGTCTTCGAGTTACCACTGTAAAAAACAACAGCGAACTGATCTTAGGTGGAGTTGAACTAGTTGTTACGATTAGACTAAATGAAGAGTACTGAGCAGTAACTTCTTTTCTTGTTACTTTTCTACTTTTCCAAAACACCAAATAACACGTGAATTGCAGAGCATTCCTGGTTGCTTCTCTCATCACATTAAAAAGCTGATGAGGTCCTATGGGAAGGGAAGAGAATATAAAACCGTAGGGAGAAGGAAGATTGTAGAATTCAGCTAGTGGAAGATGGATTTGAAAGTATGGGAGGAATGATGGTGATTTTTTTAATCACTGAAGATAAATGAGTTAAAATAGAGCTGTAGTTGTAGAAGAAAAATCTGAGATGTTAAGCACTAAGCACTGCAAACGAATTTGAGAAGTGCGCAGCATGAGTTATGAAAAGACTAAGGGAAGAATGGAGATGGAGAAAGAACATAAACAGGAAGTCATAGTAAGTACAGTTTATATATTACATGGCAATTTGATCAGATGTACTGCCTTAAATGTTCATGTATATAGTAGCGAGTGCTCACTGATTTGCTTCAACACGTATGGGACAGAAAAAGAAATGTTGCCTTGAACTCATATACCATCACATTGCTGTATTGCAAAGGGTAAAGCCTTACTTGAGGAACTAAGGCAAATGAGCCTTAAAAAGTTTTGTATAGCTTAGTGTTATAACAGTCCACCACTCCTGAGCTATACATGCATAAACTGAAACTCCCCAGTAGAGGAATTTTAGAGGTTATGGACTAGGTCATTGCCACTAAGTAATGAAGGGAGGTGGCAGCTCTTCTTCATGCCCTAAAGTTCCAAATGTCTGTCATTTAAAAAAAAAAAAAAAAAAAAAGAACAAAAGAACAAAATGGAACAAAGTAATAACAAAAAAAAAAATCACAAAACAAAAATCTGCACTTTAGGGAGGAAACTCTTCCCCATCCCTTCTTGACCAACGTTCCCTGTGACAGAGCAGTGCACCAGCTGTAGAAAGGTGCTCCGGCTCTGGGTAACCACCTCCTGGCTGTGGAGGGAGGAGGCCCAACTGACCTTGTGTGCATCCTCCATTTTTTCTAACTGATAAAAGGGCGAGGGATAGAAACATGAATGACATTCCTGTGCTTCCAGTTCTCAGGCACTGAATGGAGCGGCACCTCCTCGGGTACAGCCTCTCCAAGTCTCTTCCAAGGAAATCACAGACGTACCCCCTCAGAAGCAGACCGCTGGTTGGAAGAGGTCTCAAAGACTGTCCGAGCCCAGCAGCAGCCAGCCCCAGCCCCAGCCCCAGCCCCACAGCCACTACTCCAGCCTCCTCCAGCAGCTTCCCAGCCGGCACCAGCCTTCCCCGTGAGCACCTACATTGCACCCCAGCCCGTGCCAGTCGGCGTGGTACCCCCCATGCAGCCGCCCTTTATTCCAGCTCAGCCCTACGCTGTAGCAAATGGGATGACCTACGCAGCCCCAAGCGTACCTGTGGTGGGCATCACGCCTTCCCAGATGGTAGCCAATGTCTTCGGTACGGCAAGCCACACTCCAGCAGCCGCCCACCCGCACCAGTCGCCCAGCCTTGTCAAACAGCAGACGTTCCCCCAGTACGAAAGCAGCAGTGCCACGAGCAGCCCTTTCTTCACTCCGCCTGCGCAGCACAATGGCTCTGCAGCTTTCAATGGAGTTGACGGTGGCAAATGGGCTGCAGAGGACAAGCATTTGCAGCCTCCCGCAGCCGCTCCGCAGGTAGACCCCTTTGAAGCACAGTGGGCAGCACTCGAGGGCAAGGCAAAGCAGCGCACTAATCCCTCTCCGACTAACCCCTTCTCGAGTGATTTACAGAAGACGTTTGAGATCGAACTTTAAGCAGCCCTACGGCGGTAGATAAATTGTACAGTAGGCTAGAGGGATAAAGGGAGCAGAGGGGACTGTTTCTGATCAGTTTGCTTTGATAATCCCAAAGGTCCCTTCAAGTGAAAATGGGTTAGAAAGAGGGAGCGGTTATGGGGAGGGTATAAACAGACACAGAGTTTAACGTATAAAAGGAATCTGGCAGCTGCCCCTGTCTGCATTCCCTCCTTACTTGGAAAGCTGGACATCAAACACAGCACAGGTGGGCACCCAGTCCTGAAGCCTGTTCTGCAGAAACAAGTTATCTCACAGAAAGGAAGGCAGATCTTATATTAGTGCCCTTCTGATGCCCTGCAAGTCCTGGACATTCCCCCTCAGGGAAAAATGGGGTGGAAAAATTGGGGGGGGAACTATGGGTGGGAGATTGTCACCTGCTTAGCAAAAGCTAGGTTTGTGGAAAAAGTTGAGCTTCCATTTTGAGTAACAAAGTGAATATTATATGTAAAGAATAAAGTAAAGCCAAAATTTTTATTTTTATGCATTTAGGATATTTTAAATAGTGGATATTAAAAGCCGTATGAGTTGTAAGTAATCTTGCCAAAGGTTTAAAAAAAAAGGGGGGGGTTGGATGTAAGAAATTGTACATAAGATTGATTTATCTCTGATTCTTATTGTAAGTAATATCAGGGGGTGGAAAAAGGGGCTCTAGCTTGTTCTTGTATCTATCTGTTCATTGTAAGTAGCATATTGCAACAACAATCACAACCAGTAAGTCATTATATCGTAGTTTTAAATAAAATTAAAGAACAGTATTGTCATGGTTTGAAAACCATGGGGAAAATTAACTGTTTTTTATTGGAATCAAGCTACATATTATATATATATATATAGTATGTTTTTTTCTTTCATGTATTGCTGCAGTTTTCTTGTCTTAATCTATTGGTTCTAACACTACTGTGACAACTTACCGTAATCATATCTACATCCTGGGGCTACCTAGGAATCCATTTTTTTGTTTGTCTGTCTATAGATCTTAGAGTTTTTTTAACTTTTGTTTTTATTTTTTTTCCACTGATTTGTGAAACCTTGTGGTTAAGGCTGCAGCTGGTCCAGGTTCTGCCTCCGGTGAATCGTGAAATCCATCTCATTTTAACTTTACTTTTAAACTTTGGCCTTACAAGCAAATGTAAGTTATATATATTTGTACTGATGATTTATAATCTGCTTTAACAGAAATAAATGTTGGTGGTAGAAACCTTGTCTGTGAAGCCCTGTCTTATTCCCACCCTCTCTATTTAATTTTCAGGATTTGCCCTGTTGGGTTTCTTCTCTGTTGTTAGGTGGCTGCAGACAAGCCCTGCCTGCCAACCTGTAAGCTTGCTATTGGTATTTGCACATGTATTATTTTGTATGCCATGGTATCGTACCTTGAACTTTAGGCCCGAACTTGCAAATATCCTTTTGACCCATAGCTATTTAAAGCTCTGCAAAGGAGGGCTTTACTGAAAACATTGGATTCTGGGTTTGCATCACTGAATTTTCTAATTTACAGAGAGACAAGGATGAGCACACTAACAGTCAAAAAAGGAAAACTCAGTTTGGTTTTCTTCCCTTTGCTTTTAAGAGGAGTGAAACCCTAACAGCCACCAGAGAAAACAACGTATTTTCACTCCTTGCTGTTCTACCAGTAAGTCGATCCCTTTTCTTTTAGTATGATTGGTTTTTACTTCAGTCTTATGTATATGACGTAGTTGTAGACATTAAAAAGAAGTCAGACCTGAAAGGGGAAAAATGCTCCCGTGATGTGGCCGTAGCATTTGAGCTTGCCAGGAGTTTCCATTTCTAGACACACACTGTGATTCTCATGGTGACACGGTCTAGAAAACTGGTGCTTCTGTCCTGCACAGGTTTGTTCTTACATTAAGCAACCTGTGTTCAGTATGGCATTAATAGTAATGACCAACACTCTTTACGGTATTGGAATTGCTCTCAATACTTAATCAGCTGTCAAATAGCAAGCAAATACTTAGTCATACATGTTTAGAGGTCTAACATTTATAATAAAATGTTATACATTTGTTTGTTTGCTTTTGGTTTTACCTATCAGTTCCCTAGACTTTCACAGCAGTGTCCAGCAATCAGATGAAAATAGCCCAGTGCAGTTACACCCTTCCCTTGCCTAGGAGATAACAGTAAAGGAGATAGCAGTTTTCCTCCCTAAACAATGGATTGTAGGAAGGTCATAGCTATCTTGATTTGCAAATCAAAAATTAAACAGTTAGGAAGTTAAGTGATGCTACATATAAGGAAAAGCTCAGCTTGCTAAATAGAAAGAATACAAACACCCAGTAGTTAACTATTATAGTCATGGCATGTTTTTAAAGCAGTGAACTACATGCCTTCAACCACCATCCTTTTTGCTATGGTTACACATCTGAAAGAGGTCAGAGAATAAACAAGGAAAAAAAAAAGTACCTTCAGTTGTAAAGTCCAGTCCATCAGAATACAGGTGCCCATGACAGACCTCACCAGGCTTGAGATAGCACTCCCTGGCCGCGTGGTATATAATCATACAGCTCAGATGAAAGCTAACTATTTAACTAGTATAAAAATAGAGCCTCTGACACAGTAGAAAGAGATTTATTACAGAAACAACTGCTTATTCTGGGAGAAAGGGATCTGATGTTACGCATAACCAACGGCTAACCATCTTCCTGAAAAGGTTCACAGACCTTAACTCCTTTCTACACCTGCCACGCATGACTGGAATTTACACAATTTTATATTAGTCTGTTGTCTCTAAAGGCAGTTATACTATATACCAAAACATCCTGTACAGAGTGCCATTTTGCAATGTTAAATGCAAATTTATGTACAAATACAATTAGAATTTATCTCAGGGCTTGAGTTGTCCTCAAGTTGTCAATGACTGCACCGTCACCACTTGTCAATGTAACATTCTATGACTTAGAGCAGAGAAAGTTTTTCCTAATTGCCAAATTGAAGGGTCTTCGTTGAAAATAAGTTTTGCCTTTTCTAGCAAGCAGACTCCACCATTGGCCTCAAAAGTAAAATAAAAAATGCCCCAGATAGCTGTTTCACCGTGTCACCTGTTGCTCCTTTACTGGATTGCTTCGAGACTGTTCGGTGTGCTCACATCTTAAAGCGTGGTGTCCAGTCCTGAAGCCACACCTGTGCCAAAGAGAGTGCAGTCATTAGGTTAGTAGTTCTTATTTTTAGATGCAGCTAAACTGATTTACTGGATTTAGCGTCCAAGCCAGCTTTAGGCTGCCAAGCCTGGGGATTTACACCCATGTATTACTGCTGCCCTGAGCGCTGGTTCTGGGCTGAAGGCACGGAGAGCGGTGTGATCACAGCCCAGAATTAGATTCCTTCCATAGAAGCCGTAAATTAAAGTAGCAGAGTAGGAAGAAAGAAACAAAAACAACCCAACCACACAAAACAAATCCTCACCATCCACCTGCAACACCAACACTACACATCCGTGTACTGGCATAGATGTACAGCTACGTCTATACATATAATAAATGGGACGTGGTGCTAATTATTATGAGTAACCTGTCCAAGTCTCAGCAGGGAGTGTGGCATAAGGAAAGTGGATTTGCTGCTGGGGCTACAGGTAAAACCGTATTTCTGGAGGCTGTAAAAAAATGGTTTTGTTTGGATGTTTTAATTCCATTTTGAGATACTGAAGACACCACATGCCTTTCCTGGGTCAACAAATCATATAGTATCACCCTTCACACCCACACCTATCTTAAAGCCTGAGAATTTCTCTTTCAGAGCCTCATACCTAGCTAGCTACCGCTCTGTCTTAGTGCAGATGTGAGAGATGCTTTTCAGCTATAGCTGCTCTGCATCTGGAAGTCCTCATTTCTTAGCACGTATCAGCAACAATCAGCCCAGGACCCATGCAGAGCCAGGCATTCCTGATGTTAACTGAGACTAACTTTATTCCAGCAAGTAAAGTACCTCCACACCTCTTTATATGTGCATATCATTCTCCTCTCCAAGCAGCACAATGCTATCATAGAGCCCATCTTTGCATTAAATTCAACAGCACTGTTCTGCCTCTGAAATAAAAACAAAAAAAACCTGATAATCCTTTCCAGAGATATTGATATTTAAATTGCAGCATCTCAGAACAGACAATAATGATCCTATATCCATCTAAATTGTCCCTACAATTTAGAAAGGGCTAAAAGTATTCTTCCATTTTGTCCTAAGCTTTCTGTGAAGCATCGCTTCTGCATTTCAATCCAAAGCTGAACACATTCAAGTAGAACCCAAACTGACCCGAACAGAAATTTATCTGAGCACTGCGATAACAAGGTACAGTATGTGACATTACAGCTGCATCAGTAGAGCTTGTAACCTCAGAGGACATGAACACGAATTTTATATGCATCAAGCTGCTTCTAATGGCTCGAGTTCTTTGCATTTAGATGGAAAATGCTCCCCAGGATTATAAATGTTCCTCAATCATTAGCGCTTTAGTTAAGACAGTTCAGGCCCGCCTACAGACACTTTAGACATATTTTTTTTTCTTTTTAGCACTATTCTCTCTTCATTATGTGAAGAATAATCAGGCTCTCCCTCTATTATGCTGGTTATCTGCCCTCTCTAAAGTCACATCCCTACATTCCCAGTATCGCCTTGCTCCATGAACAACAACAGCTACTGTTACGTGAAGGCACAGGGTTAGCTATTGCTATAAGGGAGTGGGGTGGGGAGGGGGAAGATGTTTGCAGTAAGCTGGAGGATGGTGGTTCTGCCACCTTTTTGCAGTTACACCCCCTACAGTGTTACATTCACCCTCTCAAGCTTTCAAGCAGGCCAGACCTCCCTGAACAGTTTCATGCAGTACAAGGACAGGGTTCAGAGTTCTTGTCTTGTAATCAGTCACCTGTTCCTTCCTGTGGCCTTGGAGGTCTCTGTCACCCGCTGTGACGCGGAGGGCTGGCCTGCGGCTGGTAGCGAGAGCAGCTGGCGCAGCAGAAGCTGGAGTAGTACTCGTTACTGCAGAGCTGGGCCTGCACGATCAGGTCGCAGTTGGCGAGGTGTGGCTGGTCCACGCACTCTCTGCTCAGGTCCACGTGATTCACAGCTGCTGCAGCCAAGCAAAAGGTAAAGCCAGCTGAAAACAGTCCCCGAGCTTGTCATCAGGTTTAACTTCCCGCTGAAAAAACACAGCAGGCTCCTGCTCTCTCCACCCTGACAGCTCTAAGGGTGTTATTTTAAATATAGTCCAGCATCAAGGACGGCTGAGAGAAACTGACACCTCTGGCTAGACAAAGAAAGAGAATGCAGTTTCTGGGACTGATTTCCGTTGCTCCCAGTGCCCTGGTGGGGATTTGTTTCCACCACCCTGCTTTTGAGCTCACCCAGAGGCTCCTGCTGCTTCCCCAGTTGGTGGTGGATGGGGACACAGCCTTACAGCCATGGCCAAGAGGCAGGCCCTGTGCCGGAGAAGCAGGGAGGACAAGTTGTACTCACGACTGGGCCTGTTCCTCAGCACCTTCACCTCGGTGCTGGCACTGACGGAGTTGCTGCTGCTGTAGGCGCTGCACGTGTAGGATCCCTCGTCAGCCAACTGAACGTTGCTTATGACCAGGCTTCCATCCTGGGACAGGTGGATGTGGTGACCGTCTGCCCGCATTGGGACTCCATTCCTGTAATGAAAAGCGTTTTGTACACCTCTGTTCCCACCATTTTGTACCACTGCTCCCACCCATGGGAACCTCTGTGCTGTTTGGAAACTGATGTTGTGTGAATGGGGTGAATTGTTACAAATTCAGTGCAAAGGAAGACCTCTTCTTTTGCCATAACCTGGCTCTGCGATTAGGTAGTAATTTGAGCCTGAGTGAGTCTGCTTATTAGCCCTCTGCCTCCGTGGGAGGCAGCTAGCTGTGTGCTCTGTGTAAAGCCTTTGCTTTTTCCAGTATGACACATTTTTGAGGTTTGAGGAACTAAGAGAAAATCCAGGGTGCGTTTCCCTCTCCCCAGGTTGTGGTCTGGCAGGGTTTGTTTGGCAGGCATTGATAGCTGTGCCTGAGGAACGTACAGGGCAGCGAGCAATGCAACCTCTTTCCTCTCCCCTATAAGTCTGTTTAAAAACATTTAAAATATCAGCAAGATCATATCTGTTCTGCTCCTCCTGGAATACTCTGTGCACAGCAAGAACACTGCCTGAACTATGGACTCCCAGTTACCACGGAAAGTAAATTTTATTCACTGAAAAGAGTTTCATTCATACAGATACTTGCATCATTTTGTTGACTCAAATACCAAACTCACATATGGAAGAATAGCTCTCTTTGTGAGATGGCCCACTTCAGTCCTACCCCTGGGACTAGAGGGATTGAAACAATTACTAATCCATCTCTGTGGAGCCTTTGCAAGAAAGCTCCAAAATGGAACTGATTATTTTCAAATAGGGAAAAAACACCACCCAACCCACCACATACTTGCACAAACTCATTTTCACTGTAAAACATCATGAGAAGAGGACACAGCCTTTACCCTTACCTTTGCCAAAACCCTTTAAATTCCCATTTGCTCCCACCTGACAGTAGAGGGGGAGAATTGTCACAGCACAAAGCTGGGAGAAGAGATGCTGTTATTGTAGGGGTTAAAATGTTTGCTATGGTTAGCCACAGAGAGTCTCCTAAAGACCAACCAAAAATCATCCTCTGGTTTCTAATTTTAATTTTTGCTATTGTAATGTGTATGTATATACATTTTGTTAATGTATAATCTTAGCTTAAAGTCTGCTTTCCTCCTCACTTGACTGGAATGTGGACTTGGCAGCCACTCTCCTAGGATCTGCCTAGGATTTTTTGGGGAACAGTCAAGTTGATTAGGAAAGGGTGGGTGATGCCAGCTGGGGCTGAGAACCATGGGTTTCTCCGTTACCTGGCAGGCACCCTGCATTATTAATTGGAGGATTAGTGATGAGGCTCAAGAAGAGAAGGGAAGGCCAGCTCTGTTTTTTTGCTCACCTTGACCACCTTATATTCACATTGTTGCCAGTCACCGTACAGTGAAGTTGAGCGGTTCCTCCCTCAGGTACCGTAATGCTTGGCGTAAGGCCAGAGATCCTCAGTTCTCCTAGGCCAGAAGGGAAATCATCACTAGCAAGGAGACAATGCCATGCATTCCCTCACGGGATGAATCCAACACACATTGCTGTGAACTACAAGCTTCCACCAGTCTGAAGGAAGCTCGTAGTTTACAGCCCATGCCGCCACCCGTCTGGTACCTAGGGGCCGGAGCAGGACCTGACGCTGGTCCTGGTCACTGTCCATTGGAGGCAGTGCAGGTGAAGAAGCCGCCGTCTTCAGCGCTGAGCCGGCTGATGACCAGCGCTCCGTCTGACTGCTGCCTGTGCCTGAGGGACAAAAGCAGAATCCCCTCAGCCTGTGCTTGGGGCAGGGTGGGGCTCCAGCTACCAGAACTGAGGCTGTGCCTTGGACACAGCTTTGTAGTAACACTGAGCGAAGGGTTAGCAGCAGCCCAGTTCAATCTGCAATACAACCTTGGCCCCTGAAATCCCATCACCAGTGCTGTGACCTCTGGAAAAGCTTTTGGTTATAGCTGGTTTCCTAGGAGCAGCCGGTGAAGGAAGTTGCAGGACAGCAGCATAAGAAGCTCTGGAAGTTCACTGCAGGCACCCTGATCTCTTTGTTTGCTGCAAGTCTCTGCTGTGTTTTGCCTAACAGGTATTTCTTGGCAAGTTTCCTCTTTCTGCTAATCTTGTAGGCAAACAAATTCCAGCTTTGGCTCATCTGTAGACTCTATCACAGCTGTTCGCTTGCGAGCTCAATGTTCAGGCTCTGACCTGTGACTGAAGCTAGGGCAGGCAGGCAGTACTGTCTGGGCCTAACAAATGAAGCTGCCCAGCATAAAGCACAATGGGCCCTACTGCATGGCCAGCAGAGCTGTTCCTTGGGGAAGGAAACAGGAAGGAAGGTGAGATTGGGGCTGTCCTCCCCACAAACCTGCCTGTAGGTATGGTAGAGCCATCTGGGAGCTCACCTGGGAGAGGAGAGGGGCTGCCCATCTTTCTGCCACTCGATGGTGAGAGCTGGTGATGCTTCCACTGTGCAGGGCAGTCTGACCCTCTCCCCGATGCCAGGCCTCCACCACCGAGGGACTCGCTCTTATCCATTTTCAACCTGCAAAGTCCACAAGCACAGTAAAAGATGCATCAGCTTTTCCATTCAGCATCTGACCTTCAGCACAAGGCCTTTTTAATCACAAACCTTATTTTTTGCCTCCAATGGGAAAGGGCGGTCTCCCTGCTCCCATCAGAGCTCCGATACTTGCCATAAACAACACTCACCACCCTTAGAAAAAAGCAGCCTCTATCAAATCCTGCTCCAGTTCAGCACAGCATGGTGCTGTGCTCCTGCCAGCCAACTTAACCCTTGCGGGACAGCAACCCAGAGCATCTCTCTGGCTAAAATCCTTGGAAGCATTAACAGCATAAACACACAGCAAATGGCACAAAGCCCCTGAGAACAGGGCACCAAGCAGGGTTCCCCCAAAGTGCTTGTCTGGCACACAAAAACAAATATTTTGGGGGAGGGGTATGACAAGCCCATTGCAATCACCTGTCTGACTGCATGCAAAGGCATCCACTGTATGCAGCTGAAAGGCTGGACACAGGCTCTTACAGCACTCATCTCCTCATGCTCTTTGCTCTCTTTTAACTGCAGATAAACACCATTTTGGAAGAGAACTAAGCCATCATGTTCCCAGAGTCAAAGAAAACATCATCTCCCCAGCCCCCATCCTCTGACCTGAATTCTTGATCTCAAAAAACAATACCAAAGAGCCTTAATTCAATGTTCTTAATTCAATGAATCACTTCTTTCTGCTTTTAGGCAGAAGCAGCTAAGGAGGTTACTGGAGAGTTCAGCAAATTGGCTGGGCTTTTGGTTGCAAAGTCAAAAACAGAGAGGGATCAAATCACAGTCCCATTTAGTTTGGAGCCCCAACGTGCTGCATTTAAGGCAAAAACAGCTCTAACTCTTATTTCTGCAGGACCTAGAAGCATCTGAGAAACAGGCAGGAAGCTACAAAGTATTCCACCCAGTACATGAGAAGATAGTTTGAGTCAAACTGGTTTGTTCACAAAATATTTAAAGTAAATGGGTGGGGGTTAAAGTATCTGGAGCTTTTTAAAAATATATATACATATGTATATTTGGTGCTAGTTAGGCAGTTCACACTTGCTTTGCTTTTTTTCCCAGAAGGGGTTTCTCTTTCCAGCTGCACTAAGTTGAACAGCTAAAGATGCTGCCCCTGACATTTCTGTATTTGTTTGAACCTGGCTCCTTTGCTGTCAGCTTCCCTGGGCATCTTTGCTCAGGACATGCTTCTTTCAAGGGACTCTTGGGAGGACAGAAGACAGCTTGCAACCGGGATCTTTGCCTGCTCCCGTTGTCAACAGTTCAGTATTCCTTGCCTCCCAACTGTGCCCCAGAACAGCTGACCCGGGACCTTTCCAATCCTCAGTTTTTCTACATGAAGAGATGCCATATGGTTCATCAGCTGGGCACGGGGGACAAACTGTTGCTGTGTGTGAACTCACCTATACACGAATTGTGGCTGCACGGAGGAGCTGGCTGCCTGCACAACCTTCCCGCCTCTGGGTAGCTCTTGGTGCTGCTGATTTTCCTTGCGAAGGACCTGACCTCTCTCACCCTCTGCCAGAACAGCACTCTGGTACTCTATTCAAAATAAAATGCCATATGTGAATAAAAAGACCCTTCTTACTGTGACCTCTTGCGTAGGGTTTCTGGGAGCTTGGGAGAGCTTGCTGAACTGGAGCCAAGGAGCCCTTCAGCCATCTGTTTTCCGACTGACTAGTGCAGTGAGCCTGTGCTGCTGACTAATGAGAGTCGCAGACCTGCAGGCAAGCACTTGTAGGCGCCTTTCTCTCCCCTGTCAGTGAGTACGTTGCAGCACCCCTTAGGCCACGTTGCCTTCTGCCCTCTGAGCCATTGCTGTGACAAGGTACATCTCAGGACTGAAGGCTGCAAAGGGTGGCTTGCTGACCCCTCTTTTTAGACCAGTCTTTTGTATTTGTTTTGTTTCTTAAACAAGACACGGCTTTCTTGGAACAGGGAATAATTTGTTACCCAGAAGGACTTGTTTTGGCAAAACACAAAACACAAATGCACCAACAAGGGCAGCTATGGCAAACTGGTCACATTACAGAGAGAGATGGAGGGCACAGGAAACTGCAGAAAGCCCTTTTCTGTGGCCTCCTGCCTGGGATCTGGAGGCCACTGATGGCTCTCAGGGAGAACAACATGCTTGTTATGCTGGAAGTGGGGCAGGTCACAGGCAAACCACAATTCCAGGCATGGGGTGGCTCTACAAGGCGGGAAACGCTTTATGGCCAGGGCTTTATCATGACACAATGCCAGAAAAATCCCTGATACCTCTGCTCTCCCTCTTGGCTCCTGTAGAGCAGAGGAGACTGGCTGTGTGACCTCGGGACACCATTGCCATGGGGCGAAGGCAACGCCACTAGCGCAGCGTGGCAGCAGAGGAAGTTTGTTCCTGCGCTTGGCTTTACTGCCCCTGTTGTCAGTGTCTGTTATCAGGGGGCCCTGAGCTACCTCTTTGGTCTCAAGCAGAAGATAAATCACCTATGATCTGTAGCTGAATCTGCCGTCTCTCCGTCCTCCCATCAGAAACGAGGCACGTGTAAATCCCGGCGTCCTCTGGCTTGCTGTGGCTGATAACTAAGGAGCTGTCGGACTGGTAGGTGTGCCTGCAACAGGAGCAGGGATTAACGGCCTCTGCCTGGCCAAGGCAGAGCGCCCTTCGAGCTGACGTTACATAAAGCACCAGCATGTAGTGCCCTCCCCGGCTTAGAAACAACAAAACTGTTGACCACAGAGGGGTCACAGGCAGGGGAAATGACTGCAGCAGAAAGGAGGTCAGGAACAGAGAGGAAACTGAGATGGGAAAATAGGGAACTGCTTTCAGTGATCCTCTCCCATGAGGAGGGAAATTGCCCTTCCAGGCAGGAGCTCGAGCCCCAGCAGTCATTTGCAAACATAAAAGCAGAACTTGGCTTTTCTTAACAACTGTGATTTTCATAACAAAAAGTGACTCTCTGGAACCAAACTGTTGCAGGAAACAGACTTCCCAGGACAAAAGGCTTTAAAAATGCTTTTAAAAGCATTGCATTTTAGATGACAGTACCAGAAAATTCCAGCCAGAGGAACTGACTTGGCTATGAGCTTCACCCTGGACTACTTAGTGCTGACCAAGAAGAATCCTACACAGCCGACGTTTTTCTGTGTAACTGCCCACAAGGCAATACATTGGCGCCTTGTTAGGGGGCAGAACAAGTGCTGCCCAAAGCACTGCCCAGTGCCTCAATATTACTGCAGGAGTGCATCTCTCTGCTGTGCACAGGCCAGGTGGACAGCTCATCAGCTCATGTTCAGAGTGCTCTGAAGTCACTACATGAGCTTGTTCCTTTATTAATCCTTCATTTTTTCTTCTTTTTTTTTCCTTTTTTTTTTTTTTGTCCGCCCCCAAAGAATGTTAACAATGAGAATACAAAGAAAGTGGGTAAACATTTAAGCGTATTTGGCACTCTACCCAGCAATGACTGTGAACTCTATGACAAAGGGAACTGAGCTCACCTGTCAGAGGAAACTGGCCGGCCATCCTTCATCCACTCCACTCTGGAGAAGGGGGACGTGCCTGTCTTGCAGACCAGCTGGATGTTTTGTCCCACGACTGCTGTCACAAGAGAGGGCTTGGCTTCCTCCAGGATGGCTCTTTAAAAGAGAAAGTGATTCCATTAGCAGCTCTGCTGCCCTTCTCTCTTCTGGGTTGCCTAATGTGGTGATGGGTGAGTCAAAACTAAAGTGCAAAGCAGGACTGGATGCCTATTTAGCTCTGAACAGATGCACCCTGTAACATGGGGAGCACTCTCCTACACGACAAAGGCTGGTCTGGACAGACCAAATGCTACATGAAATCCAAGGAGACAGACCCAGCCGTATAACCTCTCTTCTGAGAACTACGTTCAGCTCAGCAGACAGACACAGATCCAGTGCAGACACAAACAGATCTAGCTCTAGGCAATCCTGATTTTCAGGGTGATGCTGCCTGGATCCTGACCCAAACGATTCGTTTTAAAGTCTTTCCTGGAACAACCCCCTGCTGACCCATAAAGGCTCTGAAGTCAGAGAGTCAGCTAGATTTATTGGTCAGAACAAACAAACCACCTATGGATTTTCATTTACAGTACAGGAATGCCTCCCGAACAAGGGCCCCAGCATCCTGCAGTCTTTTCACACACGCTGCCTCCAGTGCTGTCAGAGAGCAATGAGAGTGCAAGGACTGGGAAAGCAGATTAACTCCAGGGCCTGGATAACTCGATTTACCAGAGGGACACATTTACAGCCAATCTGTTTCGTGGTTAGCTGGTCCTGGCTGGGTCTATGCTTCCACTGCAGAGGAAGCTGCACTGGTGCTTCACAATGAGCAGGCAGAAAAGAGAAGAAAAAAAAATCACCTGTGCAGATCCCTTGCTGGGAGTGAGTCTGCAGACACCTGGTGGCCCAAGCCCGCCGTTATGGAAGCATCTGCTCCAAAAGCCGTATGCCACAGCTTGCCTTCATGTGGCAGCACCTGCTGGCTCTGCCTCTCTGGGGGCCCAGGCGCGGCTGTTTCTGACACCAAGTGCAGCTGGCTCAGGCTGTTCAATCGACTTTGCTGGGTGCCCCAGCGCTGGCTCTCCAGCACGCCAGTCCTTTGCACGGTCTCTGGCAGCACCTCGCTCCTCCAGCTGTCCCCTCTGTGTCTGTTGTGTGTGGGCTGTAAAGCCCCATAGGCTCTTCCTTCTTGGCTCTGACTTGCAGACTCTCTCGGTGGTGGCTGCTGCTGACCCCGAGAGTTCCCTGTGTGAGAGCTGGAGGTGGCGTCTTGCTGCTGCAGGGCTCCTGTGCCAGAATAGGGCTGGTGCGCCAGGGGACTGACCCCCGCAGAGCTGTGGCACACTCTCATGCACTCCTCCTCCGAGGCAAAGCTGTTTTTATTGCCATGACAGCCGCCGTACCAGAAGCGGTTGCACTTGCCAACGACAGTCACAAAGTACCAGCGAGTGGTCCAGTTCGCACAGGGGCCATGGGCGCTGGGCAGCAGGCATATGATGGGATATGCTACCAGAAAGAGCAGAACAGAAGGACAGGTGAGGGCTGTGAAACACAAAGGTCCAGGTGCTGCAACAATCTACCCAAATGATCTGATGGGCCTTGTGGGCAGAGTGCTGGTGGGAAGGTGGGAACACCTGAACTTTGCATCCAGCTCTGCTTTTAAATTGGGCAGCTGCTCTGATGTCTCCTTCAGCCCTTGTTTTCCTACTGGTAGGAGAGAAGCCAACCTCAGAGACATTTCTGAGCCTAAATGCTAGACTGACACTTTACGGCCTTTCTAGGGAATCCTGATGCTGCAAGGGGCACGTGGCTGTCATTTGCACATTGCCAGCCCAGAGAGCAAGGGGACTAGACCCAGTTGTAAAGACTCACACACTACAGATTACTGCTGTAAACAAAGAGAAGCACAGCCCAATCTGTCTGCAGACCTTCCCCTGTGCCCTGAGTCACACGTATTACAGCCACATGCTGACAAACATCAGATGCAGAGCTCTGACTGAGAGCTCCTTTGCAGAGCTGTGGCTGAGCGGAGAGGACACTCAGACCTTTCCCCCTAAGGCAGCCTTACAGGGCTGGCGACCAAGCAATCCCTGTGCTGTAGCAAAAGGGGAAAGCAATGCAGCAGCCATCAGCCTGCAAAAGATACAGCTGCGAGCTGAAGGAGCAGAGGTGCTTTCGCCCAGCAGCTCCAGCATCCTGGTAGTAGAGCAGGCACTGTTCCCTATTGCTCTCTGCTGGCTGAAAGCCTCTACGTAGCCCTGAACAATGCCGCCATCCTTAGCTGTAGCTCTCTTTCCTGCCTTGGGCAGACAAGCTTGTCTGAAGGCTGAGCACATGCCCCAGTTCCTCAGAGAAGGCCTTACTTCACCTAAGCCCAGGTAATGAATTTGGAGCACTCCAGGCTGTATCAGGTTGTCTTCCCAGGGGGAAATGGCTCCCCAGAAATCCTACAGACTGACAGAGATTACACACAAAGAGTTCTGTCCAAATACCAAAAGAGGACAACAAGAATTTCTGTGGTAGCTAACTGAACCATTTGGCAGCTTTTCTACATTCCCCTCTCCCAGCCACCAGGCTGGATTCCTTTTCAAGGAGACCATTTACTACAATTTACAGAGAGCAAAACCTCTACACGGGAAGCTTCTGTACGCTACTGAATTCTGTGTGACTCTTCCTATGTTTCTAACCAAAGAAACCAAAGCATCACTTACGGTAGTTGGGCCTGTTGAGACATCCTTCCCCTTGAGGACCCGAAGCTGAAGCGACATTGTCAAAACAGCAGCCGTACACTGAGCTGCGGCACTCGCCCGAGGGGTGCTGCTGCAGCAAGGCTTGGCTTGCCTTAGAGATGGGAATTGAAAGCCAAAAGTTATCATGTGTACATGAGGACGGAAGGACATGCAAGACAGTGTCCAAGCTGTTGGCTGCGGAGGGGCAGCCGTTAGAGGAACCGCTACTCATTTGTTTGCCTCCTGGAGGCTTTCCTGCTGGCAAGGGGGAAGAAACTTGGCTGCTGGCCATGGAGACAGCGCTGCACTTCTTTGCAGAACACACCTAGCCAGCCAGCAGCAGGCCAGCTTTTTCATCTGGCCCCTCCACACACCCCAAACCATTAGTGATGAATTTTCTCCTTGAATATTTTACCCTCAATTAGTCTGCAGAGACGACTAACAAGGGCAATTATTAATGGCACGTTCTGTCCTGCTTTTTCTCCTAGAAATTGGATGGCAAGTTTCTGACAGACAGAAATCTCATTACTCATGACTATTCAACCAGCTCTATGCAAGATGTTCCTCTCCTTCTCAGACAGCTCCCGACCACCTACTCTGTCCCCTGCTGACGGAGGATCACAAGTGGGTGCCCCAAACTGCACAGGAATGAAGTGGGCCAAAGGGCCAGATGCCATGCATGGAGTATTGGTTCTCCAGCACTACTGGCAGAGATGAAGCACAACAGAAACCCACGGTCTGAGTAATTAGGGTCAAATACGAATCCTCCTATCTGATGGAGTGCTAAAACCCAAAGGGCTTTTGTACTTACTGTTGGAGCAGCTGCAGCGGGCCGATTTCTGCTCATCTGAACCTCACGGTTGTACTGTGGGCATCCCATGTTGTTCAGACCTTGAGCAGCTGTTACTCCATCCGGACAACATCCATACCTACAGACAGAAGGCAGAAGGGCTGCAGCAATACCTGACCTGCCTGGCTCAACAGGCACAGGCTGTAAATTTCAATAGGCCTTCCAGGAAAGGCAGCGCCTCCCTGCTCAGGCCTATCTACTTCCAGCTACCTGTTTTGGTGACAGCTGCTGAAGGGACAACCTCTCCCCAAAGGGCCTGAAGCCGGAGTGCGTCCATCTGGACAGCAGCCGTGTGGGCTCCGCTGACAGTCCTGAGAGCCAGTCCCTGCAGTGGGGTACTGAGGGAAGCTGAGCTGCTGGGAATGTGATGGGTGTGACTGGGATTCCCAGCGAACAGGCAACAAGTTGATGCCACGGTCCTCAGTGGGCTGGACGTGGTGATTCGCAGAGGTACTGTGGACTGCGGAGCTCCCAGCGAGCATCCGTCCAGAATCTGGGAAGAGAAATCCTTAGAGCATGCAGGCAAGCAACAAAATCCGGGCAGTTTTCTTCATCTCTGCTCTTTTTCCTTTTACCTGTCTAAGGCTACGGGGCAAGCTTTTCTGTATCAGGGTTTCACCTGAATATATGTCTTCCAGCCCACCCTTCTGGATTTGGTTGTCCTGAGGGTTTTTTTTGCTCACTGCTGTGAGTGTTCTTCCTGCTGCCCCATGAGAAATCACCTGCCACATTACTGTGGTTCCCTTGCAGCAGGACTTGTAATCTGCTTTGGGCAGCATTTCTCTCAGGCAGCATTTACATGATGCTGTCAGAACCTGGGATGTAAATACTGTACAGAGTCTGCTGCATGCACAGAATCAGATGTTGGTCACTATGGGTGTAAAAGAATCTATAATTTATCCCTGGCTCCAGGAATTTCTAGAAGCCCGTGAAAAGAACAAGAGAAAGGAAGAAAAGGAGGAATCTTCCCCTTACCACACCCTGTTTCAAGTCCACCATCACCAAACCCCAAACAAACAAAATTCTTCTGAACCTGTGGCAGGGCTGTTTGGGTTGTAACGAGTCAGCAAGGACTGGCGAGTGACATCATATCCCATAGTGTCCTGCATACTGGGGACCTCTGCAAACAGAGACAGACACAAAGTAAGTGCAGTTAGTCCAACGATGCTCAAATAATTGCAAATGCATCCAGAAATTAACAGGAGACTAAAGTTGAGGAAAATGCATCTCTTCTTCTGGAGCAACTGTCAATCAGCATTTGGATTCAATTGGACTGTCAGGAGAGCTATTTGCAACATGCAGGCAGGCAAAAGTTGCCATTTTGGCTTTGGCATGAAGACTAGATACAGGCAAACAAAGTCTTCTGAACAGATGTGCCTCCTTTTTAGGTGGTCCACAACAGGATAAGAGTTGGCTATGGTTTCTAACTACTGAGCCTGCCCAGGGTGTCAATCCTTCTTAACTCTGGGAGTCCTGGGGTCAGTCTGCAGTACAAACTAGAACAGAGCTATCACAAATACTGAATTCAAAATGGACACACATGAACATTAAGCCTGTTACATACACTTCAAATGGTGCAGGTACTAGGACACTGAAGATGCTACGATTACGTGTGCAAAACATGAATGTACAGGACAGAGGCAGGCAGGGAGATAAGAACACAAGCTTGTGCAGACTCTAGGGAATTTATATGCCTACTGCAGAAGCATCTTAGAAAAAGCTGGCTGTCCATCAATACCACTCACGCTGTGGCAGGTAGCAGGGCTGCATGTTGCAGCTTCCCAGGGTGGCTGGTTTCTGGGGCTGGATGGCTTTGCATATCTCAGCACTGTAGAATTTGGAGTCACCGTCAGCACAGATAACTTGGCGCGTCCGGATGCCTGAATTGCAGCTCTTCGAACACTTGGGCACAGAGACAAGGCAAGTGAGCAGGAACCAGAGTCAGAATGCAGAAACCCCACAGCCCCGAAGTGTGGAACAGCTGTGTGATTAGCTGCAGGCTGAGCACAGCTTCCTCCAGCAAGACAAGGCAAACAACACTTCAGCTGGATTTATCTGAACAGTTACTCTAAACCATTTTACCAAATGTTGCACTCAGCCCCAAAGCATTAGGCTCCAAGCCATGCTCACTCTGTAACATCCAGATGAGCTGCTGTTACCAACAGTGCTATGGCAAGGAGTTGGAATGAGCAGCAGGAGTGAATTGTTTCAGCCTGGCCTGAAGGCATTCCAGTACTACTGGGATACATCAGCTGTGAGGTCAGCTCTGAACTCTGCATTCCAAACAGCAGGCACCACTTTAAAACAGGAAAGCAAATGGGTGACTTTCTTGTAAGCAGCTAACTGCAGTTCCTCTCACTGGAAGCTGTGGATGAGCAGAACCTCAGGGAGGGGAGGGCAGTGAAGAGGATGCAGTAACTGGGTAACCAACCTGCTCAGGGCAAGCTTTACGAACTTTGGGGAGGTATTTCTTTCTTTTATTCAGATGCAGGCAGGAGCCCTTCTGATATTGGAAAGCCTGAGGCCAGGAAAGATCAGATTAAGGTATGCTGCATTTTTAGCTGTTATTAAAACAGCCTACATCACACAGAGAACCAGATGTAACATGTTTTAACTCAGAACTAGCTGGTCTGACTAGCATAGAAGGGGACAAACGTGTTTGGAAGTAATGTGGTGCACTGGATCTGCCCCTATCTCTTCTCTCCCAGCACTTTTCCCAGGCTGAAAACAGTCTGGCTCCCTCCACAAAGACAAGACTAATCCAGCTGAAGAACAGTTTATCTGAACAATTACAAAAACATAGTTTGAAACATTTCATCCAATGTGATGACCAGTCCTGAAGCCTGTGGCTCTAAGCCATACTCAGCCAGAGAGCAGCTTTGCTATTCACATCGATGGCGCGAAGAATTGGGAATACGCAGCAGGAGGGGATTGTTTCTGTTTATTGGCTGCATTTTGCTACTGTCTCAGAAACTATAATCTCCCCCCTTCAAGAAGGATTTATTTTTGTAGCAGCTGCAAACAAAGCAGGCAACAGATTAACTGGAGCATTACTAGTGCCAGTTATAATGCAGCCGTGAGCCAAGGGACTGGTAATGAAGCAGTACATACTCCCAGCCTCAGCCAACTGTGCACACTGCCTGATTAAAGCTTGTTTGCAAGGAACACAGTGATATAATCAGTGAGCCCTGAACCGTAGAAGTGTGATGCTCACCAGGCCCCAGTCTCCAATGTGCCAGCCGATCTCCTGGATGCAGTTCTCCTTAAGGCAGGGCTGGGTGGCTGGTGGCTTTGGCTCCATGAGGCAAGCGAAGTCCCGAGCTTGAGAGCCCTGCTGCGTTCTGCAGGTGACAGTCCGGGTCTGGACTCCTTCCCCACAGCTGGCTGAGCACTGCAGAAAGGGGCACAACAGGTGAAAGAAAGCACATAACTTCTGCTTCCACTCCCAGGCTGTGGTCCCCAGCATTAGGGCAGCATACCATTTTGGGAACGCCTAAAACAAGCAACCATCATAAAAATCATCTTCTTGGATGGGAATTAGAGTAGTTGTTTAGGCTGCAGAAGAGACAATAAGGCATGGTGGGTAAGATCTAGGGTATTTAGAGCTCACGGGATGATTTTGGCCTAGTTACATGATTTCTCTTGCTCTCTACCGAAGAAGTCATGGAGAATAATTTTGAAAAAATAACAGTACTGCACAATACACTGAGAACAATACATGGTAGAAGATACCTGGAACCAGCCTATGGCAGGGGGGTTGGAACTAGATGATCTTTAAGGTCCCTTTCAACCAGAGCCATTTGGTGATTCTATGATTCTAATGTAACTATATTTACTCCTGATTAAAGTCAGCTAAAAATAAACAATTCAAGGGAAAATAAAAAGATTAAGTTCTTGTATTGCTCACGTCTTTTTCCTGAAGACCTTGTGCACCTTTTTATGCTGTGTAGCTGTGAGACAGACTCTTTTTATAAAGGTAACTGGAATGTGATATTTTCAATGCCCTGTTAAATTTACAGTGGTTTTGGCTGGAATCCAGCCTGTCTCTCCATGAATTACTAAGATCTCCTACAGAGAAGACTTGGGAGCGATCTGAATTGCTTTATATGAGCTTCTCAGCTGAATTTCCATCAGTCATTTACTAGAGTGACCTTGTATCTCCAAGGGTACATGAAACTCGATTGCTTTTGGGAACCCCAGAATGAATCACTTAGGAATTACTTCGTAAGAGCATGTCACTTTGTGCCTTCCTCAAACAGTGCTCTCATTCTACAACCCTGAATCCATCTCAGTATTCACACCTCACATCTGATGAGAGGGGAAAAAAAAAAAAAGATTTTGCAGTCTAGGTTATAGTGCCTCAGAGTTGCATTTTATGTTCTGCACTACTCAGACATAGAAGTACCAAAAGATTGTAAATCAAATGTTGCAAGAATGCATGTACTTCTTCAAAAGACCAAAATTCTCTTGTGCCTTAGGGACTGAGTAGATGCACTTCAATCATACACACTATCTTTACTTTCTAAGATTTTTGAATGCAAGATGTCTTCTATGTGCATGGCTGGCAGCACTGAGCACATCCAGCATGAAGGGTTTCCTCTCCTGTAGATTCAAATTCACACAGGCATCAAAAACACACGCTGCAGCTGTGTCCAGAGATGCCCTGGACTGATGCAGAGCCTACAGCAAACAGCAGGTCACCGGCAGTTCAGGAGCATCTTGCTTACTGACTGTTGTGATTTAGCACTGCTGTCCAGAGGCTAGTAATGCTGAGGCAGCAATATGCATGGAAATAAACAGCCCAAGTGGGAGCCGTGAGCTCCTGTTTTACAGAGGAGAGAGTTACTGCACATCATCAGCTCAGGGAGAGCAGCTCTTACGCCTGCCTTCCACCTTCACCAGGCCTGGCTCAGAAACTCAGCAAGGTCTGGTGGATCTGATAAAATTACAGAAGTGGGGAAAGGACTGGGAGACTGGAGGAGAGAGAGATCATGTGATGAGAGGGACAAGGGTGCAGGGTCATGAACAGCTTTGAGGAACACAAACAAATTTATAGGAAGGCAGAGCTACTAGCAACCTGGAGAACTTGTTTTGAGGATAGCAGGGACAAATCTTGTACCTCTGCCCGTTACCTACCCAGGGGCACACACCTTTTACAGTCCCAGCAAAGATGCCTGCCTCTTTACCCCCAAGCTTTGGCAGATCCTCCTCCAATAGATGCTAAATGGCAGTCGCCTCCCCCACACAAACTCACCTCTGACCAGGGACCTGTGCTCCAGGTTGCACACTGCCTCATGTTGCAGGGCTGACTGCTGCGAGGCTGCTGTGCAAAGGCCATGCACTCAGCGTTGTCCACAACCCCTTGGGAGCTCTGCCCATCAAACGCCACGCAGTAAACGGAGCGAGTCTGGGTGCCTCCACCACAGGTAGCTGAGCAGGGTCCCCACTCCCCCGTTGTCCACCTGCAGGTCACAGAATGGAGCAAACAAATAACGGCCCAGCCAAACTGCCCAGAGGCACAAAGGAAGTCAGTGTCATGTCTCTGTTGCAGTCAGACAAGGAAAACATCTCTTTGCAAAAGAGAATCAGAGGCAAGCTCCCATTTCACCAAGCGCTGCCCAGCTTAATTGGCAATGCAGAGTAGTCTCGCCCCAGAGACAAATCCCCAACTACTAAGCACTCGTTACTTTGGAATTGCAGAGCTCTCCATGAGGGGAAAGATTTCTCTCCATGGCTTTTGGTCTCCTGACAATTGCAAAAATATTAGGTCTGGAACGGAACACCAAAGGGAAAGAAAAAAAAACACAAAAACAAACAAACAAAAGGAAAACAATCCGGATCAGCTAAAAGAAAAGCAGTCCACAGCAGCATAACTACCCATTTGTACTCCAGCCACTAACAGAAAGATAAAACATCACCAAACTGACTGACCAATGGAAAGCTGGTCTATTCCACCCATTGGCTAAATTATCTAATGGAAGCACACCAAAAAAAGGAAAAAAAAATCCTTTAAATAGATTTTGTTCTGTGTTTGGTCACTGAAGCTGTTATGGAAATGTTACACCCTTGCTAACAGAAGGTGAAATATCCATACAATGATCACGCTGGATGCTATAATACCCACCCTTGTCTGTTCCTGTGTCTTGGTGCTGCCCAGGTGGCTGGGAGCACAGCTTGTGTGGCCTGGCTTCAGGGACAGCATGATGTTTCATTCCAGACTCCAGTGTGGGGTGCAGTCAAAAGGCACTGGAGATGCAAAGGAGACACCATAGTGGTCTGCTATCCTCCCTTTCCGTCACATAAGCCCCAGCCAGAGAGTGAAGGCAGTTCGTGTTTTCTCCACTACCTCTCAAGTTCCTGCCTTGGTCTGCTTTCATCACTCCTGGACTGAGTTTCAGGCAGCCAATTCATATTCTCACCCTACCAGAAACTCCACAGCAGATGTTCATCTCCTGAAGATACTCCTCTACTGCTAACGATGCACATACTGTACCAGAACTGAATACCATTTAACATAAAATAAGATATTCCCTTTGGAAAGGGAACTACTACTTCAAGTACAAACCACTTAGATTGGTATGGTTATTGGGCTCAAAACAAATTCGTCAATTAAGATTTTTCAGAGGTGCCCAAGGGGCTAAAAAAGTCCACACATCTCTATTCTGCCTCCTGTAAAGCAAGCATACAGCATTAGAAAGGCTGCATCAACTGGATGGACTCACCTACAGCTTGCTTCAATTGCCAGCCAAGACATCTTCTCCGACACGTGTTTCAAGTCCTTTGTAAGACAAGGTCAACCATAAGGATAGGGCCATCATCACAGGCAAGTCATAAGCTAGTAGCAGTTTGCTAGGGAGCACTTGTTTTGCCTTTGATCTTTTTTACTTCTAATACCTCGCTGTATATTGTAAGTATTTTGTCTGTCACATCCTTGCGCTCATCACAGTATAAAGGCAATTTTCTGTGTCATATGGGGCCTATGCCAAAACGAGAAGAGCTTTTGAAGAACTCTGAGGCTTTTCCACGGCACACTGGAATTTTGGCCAATGTTTCAATGGCCCTAATCCATCATGCTCCTTTTCCTTTGTTATTTATCTTGATTAACCAAACAAAAATTTCCAGAACATTTTTTTACCTCTCTAAACTAATTCCAGAGAAAATGCAATAATTATCTAGCCAAAAGCTATGAAGAAACTGTCCCCTAAAAGTTAGGTTACCAGGACCACTCACAATCACCTAAGCAAAGCTTAGCCAGCCAGCACCCTCCACCATCATTTTCATTGGCAAGAATCAAAAGCAAAGCACCACCTGCTAGCACCAGTGCCAGAGGAAAGCCCCCACATCCTCCAGTAGGAAACTAGGTGGAGAGCAGAAGAGAGCAGCTGCCTTCCTGTGCTTTCTAAAGTCTCCTCGTTACCTCTTCATCTGAGAGCTCCGTGCTCCACTGTGGCTCCAGGCTTGTGGTGCATAGATGTAAGAAGTCCTTTATACACAGAACAAAGGATTTAAAGCACTTACAGAAAGTAGCTATGGGCTATCGTATTCAGAAATGCTCCCAGTTTTTCAGGTGCCCTCTGGCCCATAACAGAACACTCACAGGCCTCCACAATACACACCAGGTACACAGTGAGATATGCAGTTGAGGCTCTGGTTACCTGTCTGGATGCCCATAAGAGCCAAGTAAAGCCAACTGCAAAGCTATGTAAGCAAGGGACAAAGGTGAAATGGTTCAGTAAAGGGATTTGAAAACGCTAGAGATGGAATAGATTCCAGGATTCATCCCTTTTGAAGAGCAAGGACACTCAAAATGTAGAAATGACATGAAATTATACTGGCTCAAACCTACTCCTCTTTTTTTTGTAAGCTCCAGTTGAAGAGAACAAAAATCTCAGAATCTGTTTCCTACATCCTATATGGGTAGCACATTAACTCTAGCAGACTATCTTCCACAATCAGATGCTAGAAAGAAAATGTAATTGATCTGTGAAATGAACATAAGACATACCAAGCCCTTTTGCACATAAAAACGCTTGTTATAGTGTTAACATCACTATCCTTTGTCTTGGGCTTTCTCTAAGAAGTGAAACATTTCCTTGGAGAGCACCATGCTGGAGGATGGTAGTGGGAGGGTCATTCTTTTTCCTGGCTCCAAAAGCACCTCAGGAAGAAGTTAGAGCCCACAAATGGAAAGGAAACCTTACCGTTTTGTCTGGGGACAAGTCTGACGGCCACATGTCCGGTTATTGTCTGGTTGTGGTTTATTCCTGCACATATAGTCTGGATAAATTTCATTGTCAATGGTACAAAACACCAAACGGGACTGGAATCCTAAAGGAGAAACAAGAGAGTATCCTGACCTGTGTTTGAAATGCAGTGGTGTTGCCAAGACAAGATCCTAAAGTAGTACAGAATTCACACCTGCACCCATCAACCTGTAAAAAAATCAGGTGCAGCTCTTGGCCTGTCACTAGATGTATGAATGATGCCTACCCACAATATCTCAGTCCACAGGAAATGCAGAAGAGACAAAATAGTTCTGTGCAGCTTAGGGGCCTTTCCCTGTTATTTGAGTGGATTGTGACTCACAAGAGAAGTGCCACATCCATACATTGCTTATCAAGGAATGCTGCTTGGTGTGTGCAGCATGCAGCGGCAGATCTGTGGACCTCCTGTTAGACCCAGAAGATCAATCTTGTAAAGAGCAGACACCGGAGAAAAACTTCAAACTCTTCACGCTTTCTACAGGATGAGAGCACCCAGCAAAGACAACATCAACTCCTACAACCACAGCATGGCAAAAGTTACTGAAATGACCATCAGCACGGAAGACCAGAAGAAAGAGAGCAGCTCTACAGTCTAGTTAGCTGGAGATTTTGGCTTGATTGTTGTTTTTGTTTGTTTGTTGATTTGTTTTTTAGCTTAAAAGCTTGGCTTACAGAAGAAGCTGCAAACTGAACATGTTGTGACACCCCAGGAGATCCAACAATCTATCCCCTCAGAGAGAGGGAATCTTTCAGGCTATGACAGAGGTATAGAGCTATGATGAAACTTGGTTTTGTAGGCCAGGTCATTTTGGAGAGGACCTCTCAAGTGGTTGAAAAGGCCTGAAAAGGACGTGGAGAAGTGAAGCTGAACAAAACAAAACAAAGGTAACTCATGAAGAGTCTTAACAGATCCTAGTAACCAGTCTGAGGACTAAGATGTGAGATAAGACAGGACAATGCAAGGTGCACAGTCCTCTTGTGATTCCACATGCAACTCTCCCTTGACAAAACCTTAATGGCCCCCTGTAGAGATCTGTGCTGTCTTCCAGCAGGAAACCGCTGAGAAGCAGCTGCAGAGGGCAGCACACAGTCACACAGTGTCTTCAGGGCGTGGATATAAACCCCGAACCAAGCTGACAGCGACCAGGTGCTGTCCCCTTACCTCCTCCACACTCAGAGCTGCACTCACTCCATGAACTGTAACTCCAGCTGTAACCCGAGGTCTGTCCTTGCACGGGCAGGTAGTATTCATACTGCACCCCTGGGTTTGGCTCCTGACTGATGAGCTATGAAAGCATGGGATAAAGTCAAAGAAACAGCAGCAGCACTTTTACCCTTCACAGCATTTCCCCATCGTTCCTGAGGGCTCAAGCTGACTTGCTTCCCTCCAGTACAGGGAGTACTTGTTCTCTAGACTGTATTTTCTCCTTGCCTTCTGTGATGCTCTAGGGAGCATCATGTTTCAGAGAAGAGTGCATTTATTTCTCTCATAGGCAGAAGATCTACATGCTCTGTAACAGTAATACCCTGACCCTACAGCACATGTGCCTACAGCACACCATAACATGCAGCGCCCTAAAGCCTATCCCTCCCCCAACCCCATTCTGTGCTGACTCTTCTCTTAAAGTCAGAACCCAAGGGAACAGGCAAGAGGCCAACACCAAGCCTTGCACGTCTCCTTACTGGGCAACAGAACAAGAGCAGAACACTGTGTGATTTCTACAAGAAAAACACCTAGCTTAAGGGTCTACAGCTCTGCAAGACTCCTGGGGGCCCAGTTACTCTTCTGTAGTCTTTCCCATGTAGTCCCCACCAATGCACAGCCAGGGCACAAAGCAAGGGCTGCTACGCAAAGCAAGAGAGCGAGTACCAGTGGGGACAGGCACAGCCACTTACCTCAATGATTAAGGGTTCTGTGGTAGGGCCCCTGGCATGGAGGAGCTCTGGGGCCAGATCACCTTCTGAGCCACGGTCGTAGTGCATAACTGTGCTGGCTATGTGCAGAGCTCGGCTGAAGTCAATCGTCCAATGCCCATTCAGATAATATTCCCCTCTCACGTTCTTGACAGCTGGACAAACCCACATACCAGAGAAGAAAAAGAAGTAAATTAACACACCTATAACTTGAATCCTGGTTCTAGATTCTGCAAGACAGTGCCTGCTCTAGACTTTCAGGGTACTGGCAACCCGCAGAGCTCTCAGCTCCACCATTTGAGCCCCAGCTCCTTTGCAACAGTATTGCAATCCTCTAAAGTGTGGTGACAGTCTAATATGTCAGCATCTACCAACACAGCAAAAATTCATATATCAAGAGGACTATAAGAATTCAACAAGTGTGCTTCTGTTTTTACTTAATATTGAATCACACACACAGCAAATAAAGGTTAACATCAAGCCCTCTAGTGCTTTCTTGCCAGAAGCAGCTCCATGTTCAGACAATTCTTGCTAGCTCTGCTGCAGAGAAAGCAGTCTCTTGCTGCACAGCCAAATCCCTTCAGCATATTCCTGTCCTGTCTCTACCTTTACCATTTAGTCACTGAAAATGAGGTAAACCTGAAGCTCAGAGTTGAGCATCACTGTAACATCAAAGATACTCAATATTCAGATCATGATTTTTGAAGTATTTTTTCCTCTGCTGTATCAAGCTCTCAAGGCCCAAAGCCCATTGTACCTGAAAACCAAATTTTAATGCAGTCTGAAGTCCAAACAGACTGAAACACAGGTTCTGATATCAGACTTACCCAAAAAGTTCCTGCTGGGCATAACCTCCTTAATTTGGATGCTGGTGGCTCCCACAGGAATGATAAAGATTTGATTGTACCCTGAAGAAAAATGAAAGGGATTATTCAATATCTATCTGCGGATATCAAAAAGTTACACTTCTGTGCCAATAATTCTCCAAGTTTCATTAGTGCCTGAACAACTGGATGAGCTTTATGGTGGTGGCTTGAAGCATTTCAGCTGCCATTTTGTCTGCATTCTGAATAGTTTCACCAAAAAGTCTCAAGAGGCCAGTTCATGTGCATAAAGTTGCAACTTCACCTCAGAAAAGTAATCACAGGGGCTAGTGCAAAGTCTTTTTTTTTTATATATTAAATCCTTTAGCATTTCATCAAGTTCTATATTGGAGCTCATCCCAGAGAGATTTGAGCACGGTGCAGTTGTTGTCTTGAAATGACTCAAAATTGGCCAAATGCAGAAGATGCAGTTCCATTTCTAGCCTTGCTGAAATTCCAGTGGGACTGTCAAGGCACTGGGTAGGGGGGTAGTCTTATGAAGGAGATATATAGAAATATTCATATGTACATTTATAGCACCTGCTGGAACAGGGAAAGACACCGGCAGCATGGCAAGTACATTAGGCTGTACTGAGACTAAGGAAGTGATTCCCAGGGTGAGGCAATCAATGCGTTCTCTGATGGTAGAACAGCTGAAGAGCCACGTGCCATACTAACATTTCAAGTGAACACTCAAGCTTGCCGATATCAATAATGTGAGCAGGTGTTCCCACCAGCCCTTGCAGCAGCTTCGGTTTAGGTTTAACTCTTCCCTTGTCACCTGCCTGAACTACCCAGATTATTTGTACCTTTGGGAAGGTTGGGCACATCAAAAGTGCCCTTCACACCATAGCAGGTGCTGCCATCTCCTCCACACTGCAGGCACTTGTCCTCCTTCTTGGCAGATTCCAGTATGTTATCGCAGCCAACGGCCTGTCAGAGCACAGGGGCATCAATATGAATAAACCATAACAATGAGGGAAAGAAAGAAAAAATGGTCAAATGTTGGACTGATTTAATGAGAAAACATGAGTCTAGGGAGTCTGGGAAGTCAGGGAAGGAGCTGTCAGTGGAAGGACAGAGTTGGCATCTTCTGTTTTGCTTCCAGAGACAGAGAGATAAGAACTGTTAACATGTCCCTCAGCACCTCAGAAACTGAATGAATGCACTTTCCAGGTATTATTATGAAGGGCCAAGAAGAACAAAGGAAAGCACCTAAAAGACTTACAGAAGCAATGGTAAAGGAAGGAAACAACAGGATGACTCACCTGACAAACTCCCTCTACACAGATATCCCGCTTGCCAGGTTCACAGGTAGTCCCATCTACCACAGCTTCCTTGTGCCTGTAGTAGAAGTTTTCTCCCTTGGGAATACAGTTTAACTCACATTTATTGGGTGCTGGCAGGAGAGAAAAAACAAACATTACATACCACAGCTTGCTAATACATCAGGAGCCTAGTATTATATCACAAGAGCAGAAACAGAGGGGTGGACTAATATTAAGTGACAGATATTGAGTGAATTTTTGGGTCACAAACTGCTGGATTATAGAAAAGTACCCTGAAAAAGCCTAAGGACATGCATCCTTTTCCTTGGGCACCCTGTTTGGCCAGTGGTGGAGAGGAGATGTTGGGCCTGGTAGATATTTGGTTGTTCCTTAGTTCTGTGTACAAAGCTTTCTAGGATGAGAACAAGTGCTGGTACAGAACACAAGAGAGCTGTTACTTTAACAGTCAACAAGCAAAACTTTAAATCCATCTTGAAATCCCTCGTAATTCATTAAGCCACTGTTAATTATATCAAAGCTCAGATCAAGGACCTCTGGCTTCCTATACCTGCCTTCTGAATTGGTTCATCATAAAGTGTGGGCCAATTACAAGATACGTCATGTCTTCTGAAGGACTTACTAATCATATGCATTTGTTTCTCATTTGTCATGCTGGTATTTCCACCAATATTGAAAAATACAGCAGAGCTGCTGCTTCTTTATTATTTTAGGATCTAGCTGCAGGCAGTTCCAGCTTTCTTGTGCAATGTTTCTGAAAGAACGACTGTTACAATAGACAACTATATACTGCTGCAGTGGTTTGTGTCTCTTGGCCCATTGTGTCTTTGTGAGAGCAACGCTTTGCAGCTGGCAAAAAGATTTTTCCATGCCTCAAACCCTCCTGCTACTCCAGCTGAGGAAGTACCTACTACAAAAGTATAGTCAAATACATTACAGTCACTTCATAACAAACTTGATAGTCAGGGATGAAGAATAACTCTACTTTGTAAGACTTATTACCTCCGTAATACGGAAGCCACGTGTATTTCTTTCCTTGGAATTCTGTCCCATCGAACTCTGCACATTGCTCTGCCCGGAAATCCCTGGAGCCTTCTGGACAGCTCTGTTTGGAGGAGAAAACACTTGCTCAGGGCCATTATGAAAAGGAGGACAACTAAGTGTACAACTAAAACCTGTCCCTCCTGGCTCCCATATAAAATCGGCAGCATAAATCATTGTCTGGGACCAATATGCTTTTGATGAGGTACTGCTGATGAACATCATTCCTCAGTGATGCCAGAGAGACAGAATCTAACAATTACTTCTGAACATGAACGATTTGTTTGGGGAAAAGGAGCAACAGGCAAGCAAAAACAAAACAAACAAAAAACCACAGACTACAAACAAGTATTGTACCTGAATATTGCATGAGCGATAGCTTCGAGTTGGTCCAATGCAACTGGAAACGCCTTCTGTCCTGAAAGACAGAAAAAAAACATGAAGCTCTTTGAAGAATATACAGGCAAAAAATCATCTCATGGTAGACAATACAAATCACCTTCACATTGAGCATATCGTACTCACACAGTTTCCCAAAGTAGCATAATAATATAACTAAAATGCACTTTTTTTTTTTATTAAAACAAATTTATATCTGCTAGTGGTATTTTCTGCTATGGTTTGCATTCTGGCATGAATGAGACACTCACCAAGAACAATTGCAGGATAGTTCTTCAGGGTTATTTTTTTGCTAATTAATAGAAGCAGAGCTTTTTGTCCTTAGTCCACTAGCACAAGCTGATGTGTCCTTACCTGACCCAGACACGTGCTTTGAGCAGGAGAGTAGTAGCCAATTCAGAATAGGTATGCACTTCACTTACCATGCTGTTTATGCACATATTAGACCCATTAGTAGGGAAGAGAAATATGCCCATGAAAAATGTGCAACACCCTGGTTCTGGTCAAATGTTTCCAGCTGACAATTATGGAAAATAACAGCTGTAGAGGAAATTGATCTGAAAAGCCAACAAATGTCTAATATCTCAGCACTTCTAAAATGAAGAGACAGGTCCCATGGGATTCTGGCTTGGCAACAAGACATAGGTGTATCCTATGACAGACAGCCTTTAAAAAAGACCTTTCTTTAAGTCGGATGGGAAGAAGCAGTTCTGGATAACACTGAATTCTTCTATTAAAAAACAAACAGACAAACAACCCCCCTCTAATTTCTCTAAATATAAAGGGGCTGATATTTTTTTCAAGGTGTTATTGAGGCTCTGGCTTTTTCTTTTTTTCTTTTTTTTTTTTTTTCCATTTTCTTGCATTTTGTCCACAACAGGAGCTCTCACATCTGCTGTTCCCTACATGTGCGCTCCCAGTCATTGTCTTCACTACATCTAACCCAGCTGCAAATGAGACGGCACTGCATTATCACTGCTTGAGACAACTCCACTCTTCTGTTTCTCCTGGGGAAATTTACCTTCTTGGAAATGCTAAGTCTGAGAAAGCCTTGGCATAGCCACTGGCTCTTGGGAGAGAAACACGATGCTCTGAGCTCTCTCCCCACTCCCCCAGGCTTTCCACACTAGACCTGATTGAACAGCTGCTGCCATACCAATTATACAGCCTCAGATCTCACAGAGAGACCACTGTCTTCTAGCAAAGGAGGCAAAGCAAAGACATATCAAAGAGTGTCTTCAAAAGAGCAGTGACGTGACTGAAGTTAAGGATCATGTAAAGTGGACGCAGGTGACTTTTTTCCTCTGGAACCAAACACAAAGCGATTTTGGTTCTGAATGTATGTTGGACCATACATGCAGGAGTTCAGTAAAGGAGGTTATCTTTCACCTTTGGGAATAGCAGCGCCGTTGACGAAAGCTGACTCCACCACCACAGCTCCGACTGCACTTGCCCCATTCACCCCAGCTTCCCCAGACATCAGTCTGCCGTTTCATCCTGCGTCCCTATAAATAACACAAAACATAGACATATCAAACAGACATGGCAACACAGGAAAACCAGAAACAATGGAAATGAACTAGAGCTCCAATCTGTTCTCTTACAAAAGACACTGTGTTGCTGAGCTCTATTCCTAGGTATGAAAGATGGCAGAGAACAATACACGAGAAAAGCCAAGCCCCTAACAACTAGTAGTATTAGCTTCCTGAAGCCATACAGCACGTCCAACTTTATAATTTCTCTTAAACTGTTTGTCTGTTCCTAGAGAGAATCTCAGCACTTCGGAATAGCCATCTGAAAAAGGATAACATCTCCCTCTTGGCAAGGCAGTAGAAACAAACTTATTTCAGGGACCATGAGCATTGTCACTCCAGACCATATCAATAGAGCCCCTGAACCTCAAATCCTTGTCTCAAAAAAAAAAAAAAAAAATTGCAAGATGCAATGTTTAGAAAAAGACAGTAAATTCGGGGAACAACACTGCAGGGGATTTGCTGTAGACATGGCTTGCTGTGTAGCTGCACCAGTTAGGGCAATTTATTTATGCATTATACAGCTGAGAAGGTAATGCATAACATTTGGGCATTTAGGTATTTGGGTTAATATGGAACAGAAAGGCAGAGGAAGACACAGAAAGGAGTCAGAAAATACACCTTTACAATCTCCTTCTCCTTTTTCCTCTCGTTTTAACAGTCTGGAAATTCTTCCAGTAACATGTGAGGATCCAGAGTAGATATTGCTTGTGGTACATTACTCTAGAACTCACATCATGGACAACAAGCCACATTTCTGCTCTGGTAGAAGGATTACAAAGATAGGTGCACATTTGGGAATTTAATCAGTTTTCTATCTATACTAACAAGAATCTATCTATTCAAACAAGAATCCATGTGGTCGTCTAGTTGCAGTAGTTATTCATGCATTGAAAGACAGCAAAAGTTTGTTAACTCTGTGCAGTGAGACTTGCACGTGGCCTTGGTAGGTCCAGGTGTCTCTTTTCTTGCACATTAAGTATCAGCTTCTGAGAGGTGGGTATTGCAATCAGGCATCACTTCACAACATCTATTTGCAGAGCGTAAGCTCCTCACTTTTCAAACATATTTTTTACTTCAGTTAACCATAAGACATCTAAGTCTCTGCTAGAAATAGGAACTATCCTAATATATTATCCAATGAATCCAGCTTGGGCAAGATGCATGGGTTAACCCTCCCTTGTCATTCAGACAGTTCTTGTAATTTTCTGCACATGCTCCCTGCCTGACTCCAAGTCCTTGAGTTACAGCCTTGTTTTTAATTTCTCTCACTTTCTTTTCAGGAGTAATTCCCTGCTGCTGGCAGAGCAACACATTCAGAGATATCATCTTACCATATTTATGCAGTTGCTACCACAATACCCACAGCTATCTAGCTCCAGATCCACCCCCTATTATTCCTGCCTCTGTTACTCTAATGTGAAGCACTTTCTTCTTGGCTCATGCTATTTGACTTCCTTTTGTTTTTTGCAAGTTTTGTGCAATTCTTTCTAACCCCCTGTAGGCAAAATCCTTCAGGACCAGTTTTCTGGTTCAGACTAACTCTGTTTGCCTTCACCCTGCTCACTCAGTGGCACTACCCAGGTTACAGCCACTTCCACATACCTTCTCTCTGCCATGTCAACATCTCCCAGACCCCTTGCCAAACCTTTCTCCCATTCTTTTGTTCCAAATATTCAGCTCAGTGTTAGTCTTCTGCATTTTCATTTGCCTTTCCGGGAGTAATCCCATCAATAGAGTTTTAGCTTTCAGAAAAGCATCTTATTTTCCCAAGTTTTTCTTTCAGGCACCTAATTCTGCCCCCTGTAATCCCTCCTCCCTTACTCCCAGAAGAATGAAACATGCTACCACTCCGTTTCTCTGCAGTCTTACTCCTCTATATCAGCTGACTGATTTAGGAGCAGTATTAGCTCACCCTGGAAACAAGGAACCTTTCAGTCAGCATAAGGGAGAAGAAAACATGCAGATAAAAATCCAGAGGAGGAGCATTTGAAAGTCAGATTACTGGAAGGCAGTTAGGATAGAAAACCCTTCCCTGAACACACACCGAAGTGATAAATATTCCAATATCCCTCCTACAGAAGTAGCATTCTTTATTTTTCTATAGAGAGCAAAATCTGCAGGGACTCTTTGTTGTAAGGCTTATGCATAAGCAGAGTGCAGGAACAATCATTTTCTCAGTATCACTCCATTTATGTACACCCCAAAAGAAGTGTCAGCCAGAAGAAGACTTCCAAAGCTGTATGGTGTTAGAAACATTTTATAATAGGGACTCAACTCACACGTTTAGGAATCTGTGCAGAGTCCTCATTACTTCAGGAACTGCATGCCTGCACGTACAGGCAAATATAAAGCAGAATATTTATAATACATATGAAATCTATTATTATTTAATCTGATAACAAGATGTTTTCAGACGCTATCAGCTAATTTCTGTTTCTACTTTGCTCAGACTCTGGAATGCTTTTATCCATTGTCAGCCAGTATGACTAAATCCCAGGCCCTGCTGGACCCTGGAACTAAAAGTCTAAAAACGTCATGACTGTTACCAATTCACTTGGCTTCATTCTCCCCTCACTTCAACTTTGCATGCATACAAGAACGCAGACCATTTATTTATCTGCAGTAAGTATATACTCTAACGTCTCAGGAAATGCCAGACGAAGTACACAAGCATCTTACTTGACTTCTGAAAATCTCAGAAAGGACAGTCAGTTAACGTCTAGCTCTACTGCCTTTTAAAACAACAGAAATGTCTGTCTTCTGGCAACATTGATGAGACACGTGACCCTGGCACCGCATGCTCTCAGTGCTCTTTAGTAAACAGGCTGTAGTGGTCCAAAAGTTTAGAAGGTCAATGATTTCATTTTTATGAACAGTGCATTGTTTTCATCAATTCCTTGATAAATACAATACTGATACAGTTGGAGCATCTGCAGTTATCAGGCCAACTGAATCTGATATAACAAGCAAATAAAAGAGTTGTGCCTCTGAATCACTGGAACCACAGACTTTGCCTTTAAAGAGATTCTCAGCATATAGTACAATATATAGTACTAAACAGTATTAACAGTACTAAACATAGCATTAAATAGTAGAATATATAGGATATAATATATATTTTTATATATGAAACATGCACTAGAAAAGGTGCTGTGAATGGGATTTGACTAAAAATGTTGGCAGTATGCAGAAACACTTCAAAGAGGGCCCTTGGAACACTTCTCAGTCAGTTTGATGAGATGGATAAGAAACTACACGCGACAGAGGACTGCGCATCCCGGTCATGCATTGCAGGGATGAGATGATCTACGAAGTTTATATACCTGAACATGGACTACCAAGTCAGCATAATTTATAATTTAAAATAATAATTTTATACATCCTTTAAAATAATAACTTTATACAACTCCAATGCTATCACTAAGCTATGAAAACAAACATCAATTTACTGTACAGTCCAAAGCGAGCAGTGAAGGTCTGTAGTCACAGGTACAAGCAAACTAAATCTCAGCCAGGTTTTTCCACCCAGTCTTTCCCTGCTCAGTGGGCACCTTTAGTGGCCTAGAGATAGTCAAGCTAAATTATTCCGTGACTCTTTGTGCTGCCTTTCCAAACTGAGAAGCATCAATAAAACATCATGTTATACCATTCCAATGGTCACTGCTAAAAGCACATGATTACTGATATCCATGCTATGCCTGAGAGGTTTTAGATGAGGTTAGTGCCCACTTTTAGCCCAGCAGCTCACATACCTTTATTCCATTGAGCTGCAATTGAAGCATCTATTTGTATGCTGAAAAGTTGTTATTTTGACTTCTGGAAATGCATCACACAGTTACGAGATTCCATTCAGATACGATAACAAATCTCAGTGCCAACATCAAGACTTGTGGGAAAATATTGACATTGCAAGTTAACATTTGAAATTCTTTCTATCGGAAGTACAAGGCCCTGTAAAATTGTTACCCACTGAAAATAGATACAGCTGCCTATGATAAGATGAGTAATATGGAATCGATTCCCTAAGTGTCTCTGTCATTTTATGCGGCACTTCTGTAGTTTAAAACTATAGTCAAAATAGAGTGCGTCTTTTCAATCTTTCTCACTGTTTCTCAAATAACACTACACTACTGTTGCTTGATAAACATCAGCTTTCTGTGGTTTACAGTTTCTGAAAGGTTTATGTTTAGTTTAACACACCCTTGAATTGTAGCCCCATTGTTGAAACATCTGTGAAAGAAGGGTGAAAACAAATGCTTTACAAAAGAAAGTTATCACTGCGGTCATTTATTCCATAATGGTTTCACTGCCAAAGCCTTTGCTAATAGGAAGTCTCCAGGGAAAAATGCAGCTTTGCTAAGTTTGAATAATAATTGCTTAGAGAATAGTTAATTGCTAACAGAAAGGTTAATGAGGGAGGCAAAAAAAAATAAAAACTGTCAAGGTGCCAGGCTAGCTGGCTGCTCCCTGTGGGCAGGGGGCCAGCAGTGAGGGCTCCTAGGGGCATCAGGGCAGGGCTGGGCCTGACAGCCAGGCCTGTCCCACCTCCCCAAACAGGGAGAAGGGCAGGCCAGGGGAAGCCCAGGCCCAAACATTGGGCCTATCCCTAGGGACAGGACAGGCCAAGGCCAAGACATGGGCCTGTGGGTGGGCCTGGTTCTTTGGGCCTGCACCCAGGCAGGGCAGGGCTGTGGGGAGCTGGAGCCTGGCCCTGCTGTGGTGTCACTGTGTTAGGGCTGACAACCCTGGGGGCTCAAATGGCCTCCCAGGCTACGTGCAGAGTGGAGGGAGGTTGGCCAGGGCCAGTAAAGCCTAGCGGCCCTGAAAGAACAACAGGCCTGGAGCATATGCTTAAGTCAGGATGTGAACGACTTCCTTCTTTTTCTATCCAGAAGACCTGCCCTGTTCTCCTAGGATGACCACCCATAACGTTTCCACGCAGCTAAGCCCAGCAAGATGGGGTATTCAAC